GGGTAATTAGTGAATGAGTTTCCTCAGAGCTCAAAACCTCACCTGTTGCTATACTCCACAGCAATCTCGTACTTGCTCTGAGAATCGATGATGGCCTCCCTGACCATGTTCAACCAGGTCCTGAAGATCTTCTTCTGAAGAAAATGTCTATGGAGTTCTTGCATTTCTACCTCCAAATCAGTCAGGTACTGAAAATAAGGACAAAGACATAAGTGAGAGAACAGCATTGACAAAGGATTAGAGCAACAGAATGAAAGGGAGAGTCGAAACAAACACAAAAAGAGGAACGAAGACCATGGAGGCACAGAGGGAAAAGGAGAATGTGGCAGCCAAGATAATATCCCCTTGTAATATTAAAAAGTAGTAATGGAACCAGAGGGGTAGAAACAAACTTGAGGTAAATTTCTAGTAATTTCAATTAAAATCACTTGAGCCATTATGGGACAAGAAGCAAGAAATGAGTATAAAAACACAAGCTGATGCAAGGACAGGTTATAATTTATAAAGACAAACACACTGAAAAGAAATGTGCTTCAGATTTTGCACTAACAAAAAACTGACCTGACATTTTCAAATTCCTTTCAAAGCAATGAATTGGATTCATTGTTCAACATTGTTCTTGAACAAGCACAATGACTATGGACGTTCTGGATGGATTCTAAATGTTTTATGTAGAACTAAGCAGAGACATTTATTGAAAGCTCCCTTTCTGTGCCCTTACCTGCAGCCAGCTCCGGATGACTTTCCTAAGCAATACTTGGGAATAAAACTGATCAGCCTGGGCTGTCTTCCTAGCCAGACTTTCCTGGCTATGCAGGAACCAGGTCAGCAGGCATTTCCTCTGTAAGGCCAAAGAGTGATGTTCCTTGGCCACCTGGACATTTTTTTAATGAGAAAAGGAAATTAATTCTTATATCTTAAATCATTTACCCTTGGCAAACAATGCTGAAAACCACAGTTCGTGGAGAGTATTCTTAAGGGCATTCAGCCTATGCCCTAAAAATTCTGGTTTTAGATTCATGTCATGGATAAGTTCTTTCAATGCTGACTCTCCAAAGACCACAGGGACTCACTGGTTATTATGGAAATGCCTCCAAGGCCATTATTTCACTTGCAATGAGCTTCAAAGTGGATGGTTGGCAACATTCTTGGTTTGTTCTCCTGGAGCCTGGACAGCAACTCCGTAACAAACCTCTCTCTATTATGTTCTTAAACACTGTCTAATTGAGGAAATGCCAATACTTTCAATTAGTTTTCTAGAATGAGCTGTCACAAGCATTGAAATCTAGACATTATCGATAAACCACAAAAACATTTGATAGAAAAATAACATGGTAAATTATTTAATGTCTTGCCAACATAAAAGGCTCAGAGTATCATTCTATCAAAATAAAAACACAACTCAGAGTTTATAGAAAGCCCTTCTCCCTCAGTGCTCTCCAGATAATTAAACATTTCTAATCCTTGTCTAGGCACCTGGCACTGGATGTGATTGATCCTAGTGAGTCTCTAGCCCGCCATACTTGCTGGCCAAAATGACCATCACAGGTAGTCTCTGTGGCACCCAAGACCTCTGACTGTCCTGACTCAGCCCAGTCTGGGATTCAAGAGGCTCCAAAAATGCCTATCCTTCTCTCTTCTGTCTTCTTCATTTTCTAGGAAGCAGAACCAGGAAGAAAGACTACCAGAAGATTTCTTAAAATTCTGAAGTGGTTAATGGAATAAATGACATAGTACAGGTGAATTTAAGGGAAAGAGTTTAAAGGAAAAGGCTAATTATTAAGTCTTTTAAAAAACCTTACAAATTAGCCAGAAACTAACTGAACACTTTTCCTTAATTTTTCTCTTCCTGAAAGTAATCGGTGATGGGTGAAGAAGCTACCCATTCCTCTTTTCATTCCTCTAAAACTTTTTGTTTTACCTTTTTTTTTTTAATATTTTCAATTTATTGTTGGCATCTACACACACCTGATTTCTACACACTCAGACATACCAGAAATGAGCAGACTGTTTCGAGGATGGGGCTGCTGAGTTCCATTCTAGCTTTGTATTATCGGCGATCTTACAACCTTAAGCAAATCAGTTTCCTCGCTAGGGCTCAGTTCCCTTATTTATGAAAGAGATGGACAGGACTATCAGTGTTCTAAGATTCTATATTTTGCTGTCCTAGGCTGAATAATGGCAGGTCAGCGATGACCATGTACCCTGGACCCTGTTAATGTCATACCTTATGTGATAAAAAGGATTTTGCAGATGTGATTAAGTAAAGGATCTCAAAGTGGGGGAAAGTGTCCTGGCTTATTTGGGAGGGCCCGAAGTGTAATCAGAAAGGCCTTTAGAAGGAGGAGTCAGAAGGGACCAGCATCAGTATGAAATAATGAGGATGAAAGCAAGAGATAGATTTAAGGAAGGGGCTATAAACAATAGAACACGGGTGAAAAAAAGTGAGGAAACAGATTCCCTTCTTGGGACTTCCAGAAGGAACTTGCCCTGCAAACACTGACCTTAGCCCAGTAAGTCAGATTTTAAACTCTGACCTTGATAATAAATTTGTGCTGTTTCAAGTCACGAATTTTGAGGCTAGTTGTTATAATGGCAAAAGGGAACGCAAATACTTGTGAACTAGTCAGAATGTGCTCAGAAAATGACCAGAATCACCTGAGCTGCCTTTTGAAAATGCAGATTCCCTAACATCCCATGCCCCCCATCAATCACCCAGTTCTGCTGGGAATACCTGTGGGCAGGACCAGGGGTGTACACTTGTAAGTTCTCCAGATGGTTTTATGAACAGGAAAATTTAGAAGTGCTAGTTTTAGATCTGTATTTTCCTGTTTTATTTTAATTGAGGTCTTCTATATTTGAAGTCTATAATTATCACTTTGAGCTCAAATTTCTATCCTATTTTTACATTATTTTAAATAAAAAATTAATTTTGTTATTCAACCATAGATCCTAACCTATTTCTAAATTTTATACCTTTCTTGGTTTTACTCAGTCAAAAATAAGGACCAAAAAAAGGGCTGATAGGAATATGCAAGTGAGTCTTTCTACTTTTCCTAATAATCAAAACCAAGGAAACAGATACAAATTAAAACAAAATAGATGCACTCAATTGCATTGCAAGCTACCTGATAGGACCACTTTTCTAGTTGGATACTTTCAATTTCCAGAATCAGTCCTCAAAAGCCTAAAGAGTCAACACTCCCATCTCTAGGAAAATACAAAAGCAAAGCAGCAAAGGCTTGAGGCAAAGATGGGTCTAGTCCTCCAAAGAGGATGGCTCTTGCCTGCAGGCCTGACTACCACTCAGTAGTTCTAGAAGCCCTGGCAAGGAGGCTGAGAACAAAAAAGCAGGGACAGAAAAACAATATGGGGAGGGCACTTAGGGAATAGAAAAAGGAAGAAAATGTGAAAATAGGAAGAAAAGAAAAAATGGTGCATAGGTTTCAAGAGTGGGAAAAAGAAGCCTCAGTCATGTCACAGAGGCAGAACCTGCAGTACTGCAGAATTCGGCAGACCTCTAGGAGAGGAAGCGCGACTGCTCACTTTCAATCCTGGTTTTCGTAACAAAGGAACACTAGGCTTTTTGCTATCAATTGCCAAACATGTGTAAATAAGGGTAGTTACAATAGGTGTTATTAAATATCTATTATTAAATACCACTGAGCTTATTATTAAAAAGAATTTTAAAGATAACATTTTATCTACCTTGAACTTTTTGATCATTTAGTTGAATGGCCCATTCTAGGCAATGGACAGATTTGAATTTTCAATGGCGTTTGAGTTCATATATCTGTATGGTACAATGCATTACTATTTAGGGTTGTACACCCACATTTTTGCATGTAATAGTGTCTTCCAGTGGATTAAGTAGATGGACCCTCTTTCTCTCCTAAATGGCCCTGTCATCCTGTGACTTGGTGTGGTCAGTGCAATGCAGTGGACATGATATAAACAGAGGTTTCATGTAGGTTCATATAATTTGGTATGGCCTCTGTGGGTCTGACATTTGCCAGGTGAAAAGCATGCCCTGACTAACTGCTGGAACCTGGAAAAACCTGAACCCTTTCCTCACATGGCTGACATACATGTGAGTGAGAAGTAAATGTCTGAGCCACTAATATTTAGGGTAGTTGGTTGTGCAACAGAAACCTTACTGAAATACAGTGATTATTTCCTCTTTATTATTACTTACACAATTGAGAGAGGCTGGGGCTCTCCCTGGTGGTGCAGGGGTTAAAGCACAGTAGTATGCAGCTATCTGCAGCCACTGTAGCACAAGTTCGATCAAGGCCAGGGAGGTGACCCACATGGCATGACAGACCTCTCCTACCCTCCTGCTTCTCCTCTCAGCAGTATTTCAGTCGATCTGCCTGTTCTGCACCCGGCTCTGCCTCTGGTGAATCCTCTCACCTCCCACACCTCTGGTCTGTCCTCCTGTTCTTGTATGCATAAATAAATCTTTAAAAAAATAAAAGAATTGGGGGGGGGAGGGAGGGAAATGCACGGGACTATGGTGGTGGCACAGGGGTGATTTGGTGATGGGAAACCTGCGGGGATTACAATCAAGATGGAAAAAAATATGTGCAAAATGATGTAAAAATAAACTTTGTAATAAATAAAAAAAAATTAAAAGAATTGAAAGAGGCCTCTATTCCTCTTTTCTTGGTGGTCTCTAATCAAAATTTTTCAGAGTTTTTCCAACCTGGTTCAATTATAGAAGTCTTTCTCTACTTGGAAGACAAATTTTAAGCTCTTACCCCAAAATACGCACACTCAATTCACTTATCTCTCTCTCTCTTTTTAAAGATTTTTTTTTTTATGTGTACAGACTAGGGGTACAAGAGAGAGGTGCTGGGGAAGTAAGAAGATTCGCCAGAGACTGAGTGGGGAGCAGAACAGGCAGATCAACGAAGTACACTGCTGAGGGGAGCAGCGGGCAGGCCAGGAGAGGTCTGCCACGCCATGTGGTCACCTCTGGAGCAGGCGGGAATTGAACTCCTGCGGAAGTGGCTTTTGGTTTTTCGTTGTGTGCTTTAACCCCGCTGCGCCACCAGGGAGGGCCTCTCTCTCTCTTTTTAAAGATTTTTTTTTTTATGTGTACAGACTAGGGTACAGGCCAGAAGTGCGGTAGGTGAGAGATTTCGCCAGAGACAGAGTGGGGAGCAGAACAGGCAGATGTACTGAAATACACTTCTGAGGGAGCAGTAGGTGGGTCAGGAGAGGTCTGCCATGCCATGTGGGTCACCTCCCTGGCCGGGGATGGAACCTCATGATGCAGTGGCTTCAGAGAGCTTCATAGTGCGGTGCTTTAACCTGCTGGCCACCAGGGAGAGCCTTATTTATCTCTTTGGCTTTTAAATTAACAAACAGCCCCCAGAACCCATTTGGGTATTTATCCTATTTGAAAAGTTCATTTTCTAGTTTTGGGGTGGGGAGGGAGAGTAGGACACTATACCTGCATGTTTTGATTGCTTTGTATTCTCAATCTCTTCCAAGGCTCCAGACCATTTTTTCTTAGCAAGACCTTTTCATAATGTTCTTTGGCTATTGCTTCCATCTGCTGGTTTCTTTTAATTCTCTTCTGCTTCTCTAGTTCTTTCTGTGGGAAATAGAAAACGAAAACCCATAAAAATGCTGAGGAGGGAAAAAGGGACGAAGATGACCACAGAAACGCCTGAACTTTTGCTCCCTCAGATGCACTGAATTGTAGAGCTAGGCATGGTGAAATTAATTCCTTCTAGAAGCAGTTCAACAACTAGCTGAGTGACTCCTATACACTGAACAAAACAGAAAATTCCTACATGGGGAATGGGTAGAAAAAAACATGATACATTGTTGCCATAAACTTCATCCCTGACACAGTGTCTTGTAAATGAGAGGGAAACTCCAACCCCTGCTTCTTCCTGAGGAGTGAAAGATTTAGACTGCACATTTAGCACCCCAACTTTTGAGTCAAAATTCCTGACTCTGAACAGCTAACTCTGAAACACCAAACTGGACACCAGTGGGGTATGTGTCTATGAGACACACAGAATTACAGCAAAGAACTGATTCTTCATGGGTGTGCCTATGTCTCTAGGTCTCAGCTTGGTTTCGAAGCATCAGGCAATGAAAAGCCCCCTTCCAGCTTTTTCGCTGAAAGGAGTTTGACTAGCTACTTGACAGACTGCTGTCTGAGAGTTTAACTTGCACTGCAGTTCTGTCTAAGGGCTGACTGTGATCCTCCATAGAGACAGAGCCACTGGACACTTGCCTATCTTCTTCAGTGTGCTTCGACAATTAAACCAGATTGTCAGCATCGCTCTGGCAGGAGCTTGTGCATACTTCTGATGCCCAGCTCCTGTAGCTGCTCCCCAAGACACAGTTCCTTGGATTGATTTTCTCTGACAGTGAAGTGTGTAGTCCCACGTCCCACAGACAACAAAAAGCAGCAGCCTTGAGATGAACACGGCAGCACCCCACCCTGTGGCTCTATACCTGGGCTCAGTGCAGAGGGAACAAGCAAAAATGCACATCTCCTACTTTCTCCCTGGAATGGATTTATCTACGTACTCTAGGGCTCAGTATCCAATCAGCCTGTATTCAAGCACGGACTATAACCCTTCTCTTTGGGACAGTGTAGGGTTTGGACATATGCTCAACTACTGGAAGTGACTAAGAACCATGACAGTGATTTAGATAATCACAAATGATTGTGAGACAACCAAGCGCTTGGGCCAGGTTGAACTACACATTTCAGCTCCTACATGACCCACTGTCAACACTGGGGGGATGGTGGGGAGGTCTGTTTCATCATGCACAGAAACCAACATAGGGTGTCAAGGAAAATAAGGAAACGGGGCAATAAGTTTCAAGCAAAACCAGTCTCAATCATGTGGAGATAAGGGATTTACCCAAGTGTTTAAAATACTGGCCATAGAGATGCCTTGCTGAGTTCAAGACAGCAATGCATCAAGAAAAATAATTTCGACAAGAACATATAGTCAAGCAGCAATCAAACACAACTAACACAATGTGTTCACAAAATGTGACAACTCTTTCTTTAGATTCTGGGATAGAGATTTGTAGGTCAATGTCTTGTTCAAAGTTAAAGACAAAGACAAAGTCTAGAAGAACATTATTACACCAAGTTATTTAAGTGATGAACAGTAAGTCAGTACACAAGTTAAATGATCTATTAAAAGGCCCTATGCCCCTTGAATCTGAAATGGAACAAAATTGGCACACTCGGTACAGAAGATTTCATGCTGAGGACTGTGGTAGTGAAAGGAGAAATCAGCTCAAAATCTGAAATCAGAATTCCTGACTATAGTGAATAAATACTTTATAGACAGTTTATAAAATAGGGAAAAATGCAGAGAAGGAAAAGTCATTTCTCATCCTCTAATCAATAGCTAATATTGACGTGTTTTTTTTGGGCCTTTTCTATGCTTATTTTAACATAATTGTAAAATTTTTGTGGTGTTCCCCTCTGTTTCACAATAAAATGTATTTTCCCGTACCATAAAAAAATAAAAGGCTCTCACTCCTCTAGGTGGAGAAAGTTGAACCATTCCAGATGATGCACCCAGAAGAGATACCCTAGGACCCCCTAAAGCAGACCTCCAGAGAGGCTGCCTGAGAAGTAGGACAAAACTGAATAGTCTACTACAAGTAAGCGATTTCTTTCTCTAATGAAAATAGCCAATAAACAACAGGAAGAGGAAAAGGACACTACCTAAAAATGGTGAGTGGTAGTAATTGATACCCATTATGAAAGTCACAACAGAAAAAGCAGAGATTTCAGGATGGCTTCTCACCAGGGGTCATCTAGGTGGCACAAATACGAAAACATCAAATTTAAGCTGCTGCTTCCCCATTTCCCATAATTTCACTTCAGGAAATTATGCTGAAGTATATTGCTGATTTTGACAAGCTCTGTAACTGCCAGAACTTTCTGTGGGGAAAAAAATAAGACCAAGATGGGAAACCCGCGGGGATTACAATTGAAATGGAAAAAAAATGTACAAAATGATGTAAAAATAAACTGTTATTTAAAAAAAGTATCTTAAGATCACAGAATAAGTAGCAGAACCAAGATTTGAACCCAAATGATCAAGTTCAAGATAATAAATTCAACCATGACACTTTCCAAGAGAAAGACTTAGAGGCAGAGAAGCTAAGAGTGTGTTTGGAGGATCATAAAGAAATCTGGGTGGAGCAGAGCCTATGGTAAAACACTGGGTGGAGAGGCTGGAAGGGGGAGTAAAAAAAAAAATCTGGAAGGAGATTTACTCTGATCTTCTAATTACCTATTTCTGGACAAATGTCTCAAGCTGAAATATCCATATTCTAAAACCTTCAGTCAAGATTACCTTTACAGTCTTTAATTTGGACACTTGAGATGTGGAATTGAATGGCCAGAAATAAAAAATTATGTATAAGAAATTTCTTATGAGTCAAAGCAAGGCAAGGGCTGAGTAGGAAGGAGTGTAGAAACACCGACTGTGTGTCTTACAGCACAGCACTTGGGATCTGCGGACTGGTATAGAACACAGACGACAACCCTTTCGGGAAGTGCTGTGGCCAAAATAATACTGTTCACATCTAATTTATGGTGTAACTATCTTCTTAGAATTACAGTTCTATGGCTGGTGGTGTGAGTTCCAAAGGAAATTTCTAGATGGAGTTGGGGAAAAATAGCCTTTCTTAAAGTTTCCTTTTCCATTAAAAAAAAAAAAACAAAAACTGGAAAATACTTAGAGTATTTCCTTCCTCAGTTAAGGATTGCTCAGTAGAACTGATTGCATTTTGTTGTTAGTCCCTTGTTTTCCATTACTTTGGCTACAAAATGTTTATAATAACGCCTGCAAGTTTTTTTGGTAGGACTGCATGAAACGGTCTGTTGCGAGACAGCATTTGGTTTACTCAGGCTAAACATGGATAGAAAATCAGCATTTGTTAATGGAATACAAAAATCTGACTCATTTGAATGTGTATCTATTCTCAGTCAATTCTGCTTTCAAAGATCAGGAATTACACAGGAATTACAGCAAGAATTAAGAGAAAAGGGTATCCCCTAACTTTCTGGCCTCTATCCATTTTAAGTGGGCTCCCCTCCCCTTTTCTTTTGCTCTTGAATTTATTTCCACTTATGCAGTCCTGTAACTTACACATTTTGGTCTCTCATATCATGAATTTCTCCTAAATTACTGGCTAATCCCCAACAATAAGCAAATATTGCTGTTATCTCTCATCTTAAAAAACAAAACAAAAACCCCAGTCACCAACAAACAAAATCCTTCTTTAATCCAAGGTGACCCCTATCTGTGGTCATAGACTCTGATTCTTTGCCTTTCATGTTCTCCACTCACAAGAATGGGGCTCCCTTCCCAGCATTCCACAGAAAACACTCTTTCTGTGTCATAAATGACCTCCATGTTGCCAATTCAAAAAGTTTGTCCTTTTAATTAAACGCAGCAGCATTTAGCCCATTAACCACGACCTTCCCTTTCCAGAAATGCTTTTTTTCTTCCAGTTTCTCAACAATAAATTCTCTGGGTTCTTTTCCTATCCCACTAACTATCCACTGTTCGAGTAACTTTTCATGTACTCAAGGCCGTAGCCCTCATATTGCTCTTTCCAGATAATCTTCTGACTCGACATCATACACTTCACATGTTGTTGTTTAAGATTTATTAATTTATGCATACAGAACTGGGGTACCGGCCAGAGGTTCAGGGGCAGTGAGAGGATTCACCAGAGAGCATGGGGAGCAGAACAGGTATATTGACAAGGTACAATGCTGAGGGGAGCGGTGGGCAAGACAGAAGAGGTCTGCTGCACCATGTGGGTCGCCTTTGGGATGGGGATCAAACTTGCACTGAAGCAGCTGCAGCCAACATGCAGAGCTGCACCCTAACCTTCTGTGCCACCAGGGAGAGCCCCTACATTGACATGTTTTTTAATCCCATATTCCTTACTATATTCTCAATAACCCAGGCTTGTATATATAGTCTGTCTGTTGTGTCATTTGTTTGCTAACAGGCCATCTCACATTTAATATGCCCCTACTGGGCCTTGCAGAAGTCTCCTCAGCACCCAGCAGCTGAAACAGCAATGCTTCAGAGAGGTCTTACCATCTTGCTCCCCATTATAGATCTCCCTCCCTGCTTCTTTACTAACTTGTACTGCCAGTCTTCCCAGGTAGAAGCTTTCTGAGGCTGTGGTCTGTCTTCTCCAGTTTTCTAACACATAGAACAATACCTGACACATCACAGGTGCTCTTCAAATGCTTGTTAAATGAACAATATACTTCTGAGCAATTGTGGCAGACTTTTAATCTTGCCAGTCATCTTTGATAAAGTAGTCTTTTTAACTACAAAATCTAGCAATTCTCTATCAAAAGCATATTTACAGTCATAAAAGTTACTGTCTGTCAAGTATGATTAGTTTTATAAGTATTAATTATAGTATTTTAAAAAACATTTATTTATGCATAGAAGATTTGGGGTATAGGCCTGAGAGGGGTATGTGTGGGAGGCAGGGGTGAGAGAATTCACCAGAGACAGAGTGGGAAGCAGAGCAGGTAGATCTGAAATACACTGCTGAAGGAGTAGCAGGAGAGACAGGAGAGGTCTACCATGCCATGTAGGTCAGCTCCTGGCTAGGGATTGAACTCAGGCCATAGGGTTGATAGCATGATAGTGCTAAGACTTAATCCTTATGCCACCAGGGAGACCCTAATTATAACTATTAATACAAATAAAATAATAGGATGTTAGGTAGAGGATGAGTTTTTTCAAAGGGTCACTGTGTGAGACCTGTGAATGGCAATCTCATTGCTGCAAAGGACAGTAGTCCCATCAAGGTCAGGATACTAGCCTGTGACTTGAGTATGCTATCCCACACGGTACTTCCTGCTGTCACTATGGCACCTCTCTCTCTCAGTCCAGAGGAATCACATATAAGGATCTGTCACACATGACAGCCATGTCCTAACCCTATACTTGTTCCTGAATGTGGAGGATAATTTGTTATGGGCATATGCTTGAGGAATTCTTCCAGTTATTTTTTTTACCCTAAAGCTAGAAGACTTATCTGTATTTTCAATCCAAAGAAATATCTACTAAATTGTTCTAGAAATCTTCTCTACCATATCAACAGGAGGACTCTTTATCAAAGCAATTAGAAAATATGGTACTACAGTTGGGCAATTTGATGGTAAACTTAATGAGCAAAATGTAGCCAACTAGAAGGGGTAAAGGAGACTTAAAACACGTACAGAATGTGGAAGACTCTGAGAAGTCACAGCAGGCAATGGTTCAGAAGTATCACTATTTCATGTCCAGAGGAATAACACTTCTATGACCTTCGAGGTTGCTTAATGAGAACAGCTACATAAAGTACACAAAGGGAGGGAGAGGATCACCTGTGCAGAGGGCCTCCAACTGGCACAGGTTAAAGTCTCAACACTATCAGGCTATTGCCAGCCACTGCAATGTGAGTTCGATCCCTAGCCAGGAAGGTGACCCACATGGCGCAGCAGAACTCTCCTGCCTCGCCCACTGCTCGCCTCAGCAGTGTATTGCAGTAGATCTGCCTGTTCTGCTCCCCACTCAGTCTCTGGTGAATCTTCTCACTCCCCATACATCTGGCCTACACCCCAGTTCTTGTATGCATAAGTAAACAAATCTAAAAAAAAAAACACCTGTGCAGAATAAAATACATCAAAAGGAAGAAGACCATGTGGTAAATTGGGTGAGAAACACGAGTATCTTTGCTGAGAAGCAAAAGGAGATAAATGCCAAGTGCATTTGAAATCTAAGGCTGCTCACAAAGACTCAAGCACAGTCCATCTATAAACGCAATGATCTCAATTGAGAACGTCACAAATAGCTGATTAACTAAATGCAAACTACTCTACTTGACAAAATATTTGTCTGTTGTGGATGGGAGTTACATTTATTTCCCTTTCTTGAAAAGGAAAGGTTTGGGCTTAGTATACAGAGGAAGAGATACCTATTGGCCAGTAATATATTCCCTTTGTTCCTTCCTCTGCATAAGCATTTGTCTTCAAAAGGAAAAAAGATTGGACAACAAATCAAATTATTTTTTGTGAATCAATCAGGGAGCCAAAGCCTCCACAAATCTGGAGAGACATGCAACTTTAGGAGACGTGAGAACCAAGTTCTTGCTTACCTGAGGCAGAAGCCTTCAGAGACCACCTATACCTGAGGCAGAAGCCATCAGAGACCACCTACGATAGTAAAACTAAAATCGAAATTATGTGAATTGCTTGAGGCCAAGGGTGTGTCAGGATGAGAGGGTAGACCTCCTGGGGGGTCACAGTCCTAGGGGAGTTCGCATTTTTTTGCCAGTTTTTGCTCCAGAAACCCTACCAGGCTCTCACAGACAGGATTTGGAAGAATCTAGGTAAAGCTCCTACCATGGTTCTGGCTTGGGGAGAGGAACAGAAGCTATTATAAAATCTGCCATGTCATTCTCCCTTAGGACACCAAAGGTTTCATCTGTGGGACCATCTGAAGGTACTAGTGGGATACACTACTGAAGGGGAACTTGGCTTAGACCCATCCACACCTCACCTACGTGGAGGGGGAGCCTTACAGGGAACGGTTTTAAGGTCACAGACTGAAGGTGGTAGACACAGAAAGAAGGGCTTGAAGGAGCAGGGAAGAACTCTGCCCCTAAAGTGGGAGAAGTTCTTGTGAATGTCTAATGCTTAGTACTCCACAGACTGACGCTAAATCAAAACTTAGAGAATGATCCCATCATTCACACCCCTCCACCACATACTGACAAACCTCCATAAGAACAGTGCAGGATAGCCTGGAAAGCTATGAGACAGACTCTCTCTGGGGAGCGACACAAAGGGAAGACATAAAGCCAACACAGGAGACGAAAACAAGTCACTAGAGGAACTGGAGTTTGTGATGCCCATAACAACAAGTCTCAACATGGTAGCCATAGCAACAACATATGTCTTACTAGACGCTAGATTAACATAAATCTCCATACTAAAGTCCTACTTATCTCAGTTTTATTACCCTGTACAACATGTTTTTCAACAACGACAAAATTCAAAAATGCTAAAAGACAAGAAATAAAGTCTGAAAAGATAAACCAGTGGTCAGAACAAAGCTAGATATGGCAGAGATGTTGGAACTATCAGAGAATTTTAAATAACTATGGTAATACTATTAAATGTTCTAATGAATAAGGCAGTGATCATTAAAGATCAGAGAGAGAGTTTTAGCAGGTATGGAAACAATAATAAATATTTAAATGAAATTGACTCTATGCCCTTTGACATGCCCCCTCATATTTTCACTGTCTCAACCCTAGAATCAGCATTTTTCCAAGGTTCCCTGGTTCTAAATGGTATTTGGAAAGCAAGTCCTGAGCAGTGAGGGTGTTTATTGCTACTAAGCAATGAGCTTATCAGCAATTCTAGTGTATACTAAACCATGTATACATAGCTATCTATAATTATTTCTGTACCTATGCAGATTAGGCATAAGATCATACTTAGATGAAGTTGACAAACTTTAAAAGCTTCCATTGACCCAAGATGGAACAATTTGAGTAACAAAATAGGTTTTATAACTCAAAGTTTAAATAAATATATGAAAGTGCATTGATATAAATGTTTAAACAAACAAGTGAAGGAAGTGAAATAAATCTACCTCACATACTATATATTAGACATTCCTCCCTTCAAGAAATAGAGCTAAATTTCAACTCCTCCCTGATTTGAGAGTAGTCTGGACTTAATGAATGACCTTGAAAGACCAGAGTATGTAAAGTAAAAAGCAGACATTTGACAGTGGAGGTACCTGTCTTCTAATACTGAGACCATAGCCCTAGTCAGTCCATCAAGGTTAATAACATCACCAGAGATATGTCATCCTGAGAAAAGTCATGTATCTGCTATGAGATTGAGAGAGTATTTCACCTAGGTAGTATTCTTAAAAAACAAACAAACAAACAAACAAAAAACTAAAAGAAAAAAACAAAACCAACACAAATTGAGGGACATTCTATAAAATGCTTCACCAGTGCTATTCAAAATTATCAAGGTCATGAAAAGCAAGGCAAGACTGAATGCTCTGTCTGGTCTGAATGTGTCAAAATTCACATGTTGAAATTCTAATGCTCCAATTGGAGAGAGTATAAGGGGGTGCTTTGAGAGGGCCTTGGTGGAGCACTTGTGAGCAGAAAGGTGCAGTTAGAAGCCCCTTCCGTCCTGTGAGGAAACAGTGAGAACTTGGCAGACTACCACCCAGAGGGGTTTTTCACCAGAATTTGACCATGATGGCATCCCAGTATTGGACCTCCAGCCTTTAGAATTGTGAGAAATAAATTTCTGCTGTTTACAAGTTACCCAGTATTTTGTTATAGCAGCTTCAACAGGTTAAGACACTAAGAAATGATGATACGTTTTAAAGGAAATCTACGTCAGTCCATAAAGGGGGGACCTAGCCCAATCTCCTGAAGAGGAAAGTGAGGTATAGTAGGAAAGGCTAATGTGAAGAAGTCATGTTAAGATCTTAAGAATATGAAGGTTTTCACTAAAGTAGAGAAAAAGAGTGAAGGAAGAGTGTTCTAGACAGAAGATCTAGGGACAGAAAGGTGTGCAAGGTCACAGTACTTCACAACAAAAAGATTCCAAAAAGAGGTGATTTGACCAAAAAGGTACTACTGACCACTTTCTTCAGTCTCTTTTCTTCTCGCTTTTTTTCAAGTTGAGCTTCCTTTTCTTCTGCCTCCCTCTTCTGACGTTCTTCCTCTAAGGCCATTAACTGGGCCTGATCAAGATTAGAATTTGTGAAAATGAGAACCTCAGTTTTTATGGCAATAAGGTCTACGCTGAGAAAAGTCAAACATCTACCTACATACCTATCCTGTCTCTGGAAGAAACCTACACTTTAAAATAGGAGTAGGAAACCTGACCAACAGATGGTCAGTTGTGTAACTTAAAATCTTCTCCAGAAGAATTCTGGTCTCCTTAGGAAAGTAAGACTAAGCATGAATAAGATCACTGACTTTTCATTGTAAAAGGACTACTCTTTAGTTCTTATTTTGACCTGTAAAGTATTAAACCCAAACTATATACAATATGGGGAAAAAATTTTCCCTTTCACTTCACCAAACAAACCAACCAACTAGACAAAAAAACAACCTAACCCTAAACAGTTAGTATGTTTACTTTCTCTTAATAGGTGCAAACTTTACTTTTGACAATCTAGGTTGAAATTTGCAAACTTATCAGATCGGACATCAACCTATAATATAAATCTTCATATTGGTTAGCTGACCTCAATTCTTCCTTCCTGCTACACTTAGGATGATGAAGATGCTTTCTCCTTTATTTTCCTAAAATTGTCATGAAGTGTTCAGGCTAACAGGCAAAAGACTATTTTCAAAGTTGGCCTAATTTTATTGTCATAAGAGATCTAAATAATCAAGGTTCATGTTTTAACAGAGACCTAGGCAACTCCTTTTTCTTGCCTCAGTTTGCATTCTCGATTTATTACCAATTTTTCCTCTTCTTGTTTTTTCTTCCTCTCTGCCAAGATCCGCCTACGTTCAGCTCGCTGAACTGCTCTCTCTTCCATGGCTAGAAAATAGTAACAGAGTTACAATATCAAAGATATAAGGAATATTGAAAAAGAAATGTCTCCATTTTATGGCAAAAATCAATGTTATTGTTAGGATTTTCTTGTAAATTGAGGTTCAAAATGTCAGAAATATATATAGCTACATATACATGCTACATACCTATCTGTACATACCACATGCATTTATTTAAATATGTAAATATATAAATATATGAAGTATAGGTGTATAATACATATACCCCTATAAGTTAAAGAACTGTATATACCCCTTTAAGTTAAAGAACCATAATCTGACCCTCAATTTTCATATTAATTACGTTTTTGGTTACATTTTTATCAGAAAAACTGATTACTGGTTTAAATAAGATAATGTACTAGATGATGCATGTAGTAAGTAAAACCTAGAAACCAGGTATTTAATTTAACATTCCTTTAACAAATGCAGAAAACTTTAATTATATCTAAAAAATATATTGAGAATAGAGTCACTACTCAAATCCCATTAAGTTTGTTAATTTTTCCTAAGTCACTATACATATGTCTGTATATGTAACAACAACAACAAACAAACTAAAGTTTGAGGTCATAATGAATACATTTTAAACTAGTTTTAAGGACTGTATATCCAGATGGGCAGGAAATGGAATTGTACTAGGCATTTGGAGAACTGGCATCTGAACAAATTTGAGTGTCAGACTCCTGTTCTTGACAGTCTATTAAATATCGATCCAAAAGAAGCAAATGTGCAAGATGGTCTGATAATATGACTCTGTCATCAGTGGGGCTTTCATAGGAAGAGGGGCATGGGTGGGAGGAGAATCAAGTTCTGCTCACCTAAGTCAGCCAATAATTACTTTCAACTCCTTGTGTCATGTTATAGAGAAGAAAATGTAAGTCCAAGTTTTAGGAATTAATAAACAAAAAACTCGCCAGGCTATTTCTTACAGATATTAAGTGTCTGCTTTGCTGGAAAAAGAATAGTGGGGGTGCCACGGAGAGTGGGAAGGAGACTGTCTTTAAGGAGGCTGAAGTAGACTAGAGGATTAATGTGCAAGGGTCCTAAGCAGAGTCTCTGGTCAGATGTCCTTTCCCATCTTTTCTACAGCTCCCTTAAGGACTACTTGAAAATAGGCTGGAGTTCTGAAATATGCTAACTCCTTGATCAAACAGTAATTTGAACTGGGCATTCTCCAATCATTCTCAGAGATGGAAAAAGATGGCATAAGCTGATATCCTGGAAGTTAAGGCAAAGACTGCCTCTCTTTCCATTAGTAGGAGCTGACCAGAGACAGTGTCCTTCAAATGACATATTTCTTGTTAGGACAGAAATCTTGCCACAAGTAAAATATCACATTTATAAGCCACAATATAATTGTCAAAATACCTTCCATATATTACAAATATGCATAGTTTGTGACTATAACAATGAGAACAGTGAACAGATTCACAAGGTGAGTTGTAAAGATGTTTCAAAGTATTATTTGGTATAAAAAGGGATTTGGTATTTAAAAAAAGCTATTAAAATGTCTGGAATATATTTCATTACTAAAAGCCTATGACCAAGAGACAGGGATGTATAGTAATGATATGATAATGGTGTAAATTGCTACAAACTGATCAATACTTGCATATTAACAAATCACAATGATAGGTGATTGTTATCAGTGTTTATCCTGGGCAGCTACTCTGAGTTTTCTCATTTGTGGATATGTTCCATTTCGTTTCCACAATACAAATCTCAAATTATGGAAAAACGACACCTTTCAGAATGTGTGTGTGTGTGTGTGTGTTGGCTAAAAAGGCCAAAAAGTCTGGCAAAAGGGGTAGGAAAAAACTCTGGTTGCTCTCTGGTAATTCCACTCCTCATTTGTTTACCCATCTCAAATCTGACCAGGCTCTGCCAAGTCTCAAACCCAAGCGTTGCTAGGATTCAGTCCCAATTCAGATAGGGAAGAGAAACACTTCCAGGCCACGTCCCAGACACCCTGCCTTTCAGTATGGGATGGGGCGTCATCAACTGCCTTGGGTTCCTTCTGGATCCAGAAACAGAATTTCGGGAGTCACTTCTACTCCTGTCAGTCCCAGGAGAAGCAACAGGCAAACTGGAGAGAAAAAAATGCAAAAGAATTAAGACCATAACCAGCTTTCTTCAAAGCCCCTTCACCTGAGAAACTTAGAGCTTTCATTAATCCTCACTCTCTGAGATAGCTGTGCATTATTATATGGGCTTGATAAAACCGGTATAAAGAAGCATGGAAAATTCGAGTGATTGGCCTGAGTTTACAATGTGAGACAGTGGTTTAACTCTTATGGAAGTACCTCAAATCAGTAGGTACCACCCCTCTATATTCTCTGATTTATCACACATATTATATGTCTGAAGCTTTCTTTAGTGGCTCTTGAGAAAGACAGACTCTTATTCCAGGGGCAAAGGTGTTTACTTTTATATGAAACAACTACAGATTTAAGCTAAGTCATTGGCCAGTCCAAAGGTTGCTCCATTAGACCTGATATTGTTCCACCTGGCTTCTCAGAATTAAGTATAATCAGAAAATCAACAATGTAAGTGGAGCAAGTGAACCTTTACTGGGGTAGTAACAGAACTAGACAAAAGCAGGAACAACAAAGGTAGCCACTTGCCATTAATACCTATTTGTATCTGGCATGTACAAATCACAATTGCTTTAAGGATTCACAATAAAAGGGGAGATTCATTCACAATAAATTAATAATTCGCAATTAATTAATTGACTAATTCACAATAAAAGGGAACGCAGGCAAGAGAATTTCCAGAGCTTCATTACTGCAAAGGGAGAACCCCCTAATGAAGAGTCCATAGAATATTCTGATACAATGGACATACTTTAGAAGCAACTGACACGTTCTTGGTTCTTCTCTTTTGGGGCTTGCTAACAGGCGGCCCTGTGCCTCTGAGACTGCTGCAGCACGCTCAGCTGCCCACCGAGCCTCTGCCAACCGCTGGCTTTCCTTCAACTCCACAATTGTTTTCTGCTGTTCCTGAAGTTTCTTCTTTTGCTTTTCAATCAGCTGTTGCTGGGAGATATGACGGTTGTGGAAATGACCCATGCAAATAGGTTCTGCTTTCTGGCTGGTGGTTCTGAGTTTCTCACTGTTGCTAGACTGTTGGGGGAGCTCAACACCCAGGGTCTTGTGCTGCTTAATGTCAGATGTGGTCTGAGGGACATTTTGGAGGGAAACCTGTAAGCTGCTCTTTGTTGGTCTTCCTAATTGGGGGCTGAGCATAAAGTCACCGCTTCCTGATGGAGGCTTTTCCCACAAGTAGGGAGTTGCAGTCACCTGAGAGAAAAGGAACACATTATCGTTCAGCCAATTAAAAGGCTGTACTGATGAGCTCCCACACCTTCTAGTCCGCATGGCTACTTCAAACAAGTGCCCTTCCCGCCAGAGCTGCCCTTTGCTCCTGGCCTGGCTACCTCAGAAGCATTGGTCTTAGCTCTGTGAGCCACTCTTAGTCTGTGCAGTGCTGCTCACCCAGCAAGCTGGGTGGGGGCATGGTTATGACTGCTCACAGCATTGCCATGAGGCAGGATATTTGCAAGAGGGAAAACATGCTCTTACAATTTCTAATTTGGATAGTGGTTTATTTGTGAATTAGGTAAGATCACTTCAGATAAATACCATAGGGGTTAAAATCTGCACGAACTAATTTTGAAGTTTGCAGAAAATTGAAAACTTTTTCTTAAAAATACTTGCAACTAAGAAATCCTTTTACAGATCAGTAATAGCTCTGTTCTTTCAATGACTCTTGTCACTAGAAAATTAGTCACAGGGTGTTTGTTTATCTCAGGACCCATGCCTACATTAAAGCTTACAATTTCAGTATTCACAAGTAATCAATTTGGGGGAAGTATTTGCAAGCCCAAAATTATGGGCAAATATCTGTATTACTCAAGAATAATGTTATCTAATAATATTTTGTCTTAGCATATGGCTTAATTAGTTTTAAAAATTCTATCATATAAATCTCATTTAACAGAGACTGAATTATTCAATTATAAGTTCTATACAGAAGGGGAAAGAACAGACTCCTTAATCAGAAAACTTATCTTGGCCAAAATAATGTCATAGTTAAAATGTCTCTTTTAAAAATGGTTTGATTCCATGGTCTAGGATCTGACCAGTTTTTGATTCTACCATCTGCAGTGGCATAAGGAGAGAAATACTATGAACTATTTTATATCTTAGAAACTTCTAGCTTTAAAGAGGTGCTATACTGAGGTACTCAAAAAATATTTCCATAATGATGGAAATATTTTCTATAGACTCAGCTGAAGTGAGAGAAATGATATATTGAAATTCTGACAAGTTACATATTTTTAAAAATAACTTCCTATTTAAAAAATGTTGGTGGACATTTATTCATGAGAACACCTGCTTAAGTAATTTGGCGTCAAGCAGGGTATAAGTTTTAGGCTCTTTTAGACTTGGTGGTGGTAATACATTATTACCCCAGCAAGACTGTAAAAGCTTTTAATAGAGAAACAAGATTTCTTTTGGATCATGTTAACTTTTTAAGGTAAAAAATAAGAGAATGAAAGAAAAGCTTAATGGTACAGGCTGTACTTAATGGGATAGGCTTGACCATTATGATTTAATTGAAGAAAATCGCCTACTAGTTAAATGATAATTTTGAGAAAAATTTCAAGGTACATGTATTTCTGGTGCATGAGTTCCTGTGATTGTATAACTAATGAGCTCCTAACTAAAGATTTTATATTTTCACATTATACTCAGTACTCTGAAAAAGATCAGACTTTAACTTATAACCTATGGAGTATATGATAGCCCTTTATTTTCATTTGTTCTAATTTTTTTTTTTACAATATTATCCTTTCTTGGTAAAACTATTTGTTCTTAATTTCAGCAATTTAGAGTCTTTTTTTTAGCTTAATGTATGTAATAATTTTCTATTTTTATGTAGGTAAAAATTATTTCCTATGGCTTTTATTTTTCATGTAAAGCTAACAACATAGAACTTTGTAAGGTAAAAACTTCCACACAGCTATTTCCTAAGATAGAAGACTTGCTTGAATCTCAGTGGAAACAAAATTATCTAACTGACATAAAGGTGAATAAATTGCCTAGGAGAAGAGACCAAAATGTTACATAAATTCCAATAAAGTTCCTCACCATCTTTCTTTGCCACTTTGCTGGAAGACTAAGCTTAAATTAAAACCACCCTGCTTGCTAGTAGTAATGAGGATAAACAGCAAGACTGGTGACCCTCGAGAGCCCAGTTTCATTTCACAAGTCTGAGCTAAGTACTTAACAGCATGGTGTGGAGGGGTGGGAGGTCTAGAGTAGAGGTGAAGGCATTGAGGACCTTTTCTAAAAGGCTTTACAAACAAGGCAAGTGTAATTGTGAAAGGAAAACTCATAGGATATTATAGGATTTTATAATACGCTAACTGTGTACACTAAATGGCATGTATAAAACAAAAAGATAAAAGAAAAAAATTGCAAGATGTATGATAATAAAAGCATCACATTTTCAAAATATAAAAAGCTCCAGTATATAAGAAAAAGATAAATCATTATGTAGAAAGTTACAAAGGGCTCCAAGAAACAAGACACTATACATCTATCTTTCCATATCTATTGTCATATATACATGTAAATGGACAATATAAAAATCAAGGAAATGCAAATTATGAAGCAATAATGAAGTAAAAATGTTTTACCTGTCAACTTGGCAAAAATAAACAACAGGTCATCAGGTAGGAAAACAAGTACTTCTTTGGTGCAGCCTTTCTAGAAGGGTGACTTGGCAATAGTCTTTAAAATGTGATTTCTATTTTTAGGGATTTATCTTAAATAAAGTATTATGGATATGTGTAAAGACTTAGCCACAAGGATCTTCACTAAGCTTTGTTTACAAACATCTAAATGTCACCAAAGTTAAGAAGGTAATAACATGGTAGTTAATGGTTTAGAACAAGAGTGTCATGTGACCGTAACAAAATGATGCACAGAGTGTTCTAATTCTGTAGCATGCTATCAGTTGTGAATTACTGGTATGGAAGTAGATTTAGTGATAAGGAAAATTCTCTTGTTACATTGTGAAGGTGCAAAAAAAAATGTAGAAAACATGATAATTGTATTATTAAGAAACAAACATGGGGGCCTCCCGGGTGGTGCAAAGGATTAAGTCTCAGCATTATGAACTATCAGTCATTACTGAAGCATAAGTTTGATCCCCGGACAGAGAGCAGACCCATATGGCACAACAGACCTCTCCTGTCTCGCTGCTGCTCCCCTCAGCAGTGTATTTCAGTCAATCTGCTTGTTCTGTTCCCCACTCTGTCTCTGGTGAATCCTCTCACCCCCAACCCCCCGGCCCCACCCTTACCTCTGGCCTATACTGCAGCTCTTATATGCATAAATAAATGTTTTTTTAAAAAAATATGTGGCCTTCCTTTTTCAGTGCTATAGCAGTCTAGTTGTCCTCAATGGTTTGAAGAAAACTTAAAACTGAATAAAATGTTGAAGAGGAAAAAAACTGCATATGTTTGTATAAAGACTGTGTGGTTACACTACAACATATTATCAGTGGTTATCACCAGCTGATGGATTTATAAGCTATTTTTCCTTTGATAGTAATTTCCTCTTACTAAATTACTACAATTAAGACATGATTTTTCTCGCTAGAAAAATAAAAACGTAAACAACCCCTTCTTATAAATCATAAGCTCATTTAGTAAGGAAATATCAGATGATCAAATCATAGTTCAAGAGTTGTAAACAATGCTTTATACATTGGTTTCTGAAGGAGTCTTTATTTAAAATTCCACCTCTCTATTATGTGTCTACCAAGTTTCAACTATACTAAAGTTTATGTATGCTTATAAAAGCCTCAGATTCAGGTCAAGAAAATAAACACTGCCTGAAAAGAAACCCTTGCATATTTGTAGCTGGTACCTCTTATCCTTTGGACAGCCGAGGCAAACGCCGTTACCCTGGGCTAGACAAGAGCAGAGCTCAAATGCTGGTGTTTTTTAGGGCAGAAGAGTAAGCAACAGAAAGACTGTACCTCTCCATTTCTTACAGGTGGGTGCACGGTGGGTATCTCCTCCTCAAGGGTACAGGTGCCTGATGACCCGCTTGCACTGAGTCTTCCCTGTGATGCTGCCTTCAGCAGCTCATTCATTTTCTTCCTGGTTTCTGCCTTTGCCAGAGTTAGCTCTCTCTTCAGGATCTCTGCACGATGCCAATGCTGCCATTCCGCAAAGCAGTGTCTGAGAACTTGTTTCCGGTTGTACTCAGTGGCCAGTTGTTGTTTTCTGAGCAACAATGTACTTCCATTAAAAAAAAGGGAATCATTTACAGATTGCCAGCTGATAATAAAAATGAAACACAAATCTAAAGGAGTCTCAGAAATGTTCCATCTTATCCTTTTATGTAAGCTAATAAAATACCCCACTGCACAGGAATTGCTCTCAGAAGCATGGATACCTCAAGACATTACCTCAGACAAAGAAGTGACTGTTCCATTGTATTTTGGCAAAAAGCTATATTCAATTTTTTTATTATAATGAAATAGTTTTGGAGAGGGAGGGAAGAAGCAAAAAAAAAAAGGTACATAAATGTAGATATGTGAGTGAAAAATTTAGTTACACTTAGAAATCTAACAAGCAGAGGTCTGGGGAAAGGGACAGGAATGAAATGTGAATTATCAATAATTCAGTATAAGACTTTTTAAAGTCAAACTATGAAGGTGGATCTTGTCAAAGAAGGGCTTGGTCAGGGAAAGAATCTCTAAAAAGAAACACTCATTGACCAAACCGATAAAGAGAATGAAGGAACTACCTTGTGATGTCCTTGCTAAACACTAGAAATGTGTGCCAGGCAAAGACAAGGCTCTTGTTCTCATGGAACTCATCCAGAGTCTATTGAAGGATATTCTCTCCAAGGAAGTGTCCCTTTTGATTTTTGGAAATTTCGTGAACATTAGGAGACATGACTGAATGGAGTTGGAAATTGCCAATTACATTCCCTCCTCTATGGGAATCTCCACTAGAACCACTGTGATGACAGCCATCAGACTCTTCAAGCATACAGTGCTAGGTAAAGCTATAAGTCAATGCTTATGGCCCTGAAAAACTGAGCTAGAGAATTTGGAACTGATGTCCCATCAGGGGTCAGTTTTGAGGTTAAAACCTTGATGTTTAGATACCTGCTTGATTTTATCTTGTAAAAGATGACTTGAATAAGTTTTTGATAGCCAACAATATTATAAATTTTACCCTGTGATTCAATATACAAGTTTATGTGTGTATGTATGCATGAAACAGAAGTATATATAACTTAAGCAAAACTTTCTCCAAACAATATTTGCCCTTACTTACAGAGAGATACTCTGATATGTCTGTTTTTCTATTTCTTTAAAGAATAAAGTTCATCTTGAATCTGACTGATTTCAGGACCCAATAATGGATTAAAAACCTTAGTCTGAAAATGTCTACTTACAAATGGTAAGTTTTATGTTATGTGTCTTTTAACATGATTAAAAATAAATAAAGATAAAAATTTTAAAAAGGTTAAAGTCACAGAATTTAACCTATCAGGTGGATGAAATAACAAATTAGTGAGATTATAGTCAATTGAAATAGTGGTTTTTATGATAATCACTAACAGCAACCCAGCTAGCAGCATATTTTATTATATTTGTTTCTTTCTAATGCATTAATGGTTAGCACTCAATAAATGCTTGGTGATTGACTAACTGATAGATTTTGTAATTAAAAACATACATGGCAATATATATATCTATAGATATATATACATATATCTATCTATCTATCTCTCTCTATATATAATGTTTTACTTTGAAGCAAATAAAACAGGAAGCTGAATAAGCTTGAAATAAAAATTTAAGAAGAAATGAGAATATATCAGGTAGCAACACAGGCAAGGACAACGGTCCACAAACATCAATGCATAAGTAGTGAAACAAATGAAGAACCCTAAAACACTTTCTTTAGGTAATGGTCAATCACATTTCCACAGGATAGATGATATTTATGATTGTCAGACTAAATGTGAAATTTATATCACTCAGCTCAGGAAAGGGGAGTATGAAATTTACCTGATGTGTTAACTTCATGTTTTTATAGCGTTTATAAACAAACAAAAGTAGCACTGAGAGGTTTAATTGTTAGGAATAGACTATTTCTATTCTACACTATGGAAGAGGCAAAAAGAAAAAATATTTCTTTAAGCCTCAAATGGATAAAAATTTGTATGTGCACTCAGTTAATGAGCAAGTAGGGGATTTGAAAATGTATTCAAGATATCTGTGTCTGTGGGCTGAAGTAGAAGGGGAAAAATTCAAATGCTAGGTTCTACTCCTACTTCTTTGCAGTTTACTTCAGCAAAGACAATATTCTAGACCAGCCAATTTCCATACTTCGTAAAAGATGACCCTAAAACATGAATATTGCTGAAAGTGATCAATCACTTAAATTTCTTAACAGCTCAATTAGATGTGATTTAGTTCGACATTCTAACCTAAAGAAATGGTTCCAGGTCATAAAATGGACAGAGCTCCTATGTGGAAAACCTCCTGCCTCGATACCCTTCCAAGCTGAAATCAGGGGGACTTCAGGCAGGTGTGCAAAAGTTTATCATCACAATTATACAGCTGCATGCAGAGAAAGGCTTCTCTAAAGAACTACAAATATAAAGTATAACAGGATTTCATGGGAATTTAAATATGGCTCATGCTGCTCAGAATCAATACCTCAAAAAATACTTGGGGCTGGTGCATTTTCTAGAGCCTACGGGTCAGAAGAGCACTAACTCAGTCCAAATATACATGAAGCACTTGGCAAGCAGCTGGACGTATCTAAGACTCAGATACTTCCTCAAAAATGGTTCTCCCCTTTATAAAATAAGGTCCTATGCTACCTATATTGTACAGCTTTTTTTTTTTTAAAATCTAAATAAAGAGAATCTATTAAAAAAGAAGAACATATAAACAGAACAAGTTTACATGTAAGGTACCACAATATTTTAGGGTGAGACCATTAGATATCTAAAAAGTGTTTTGAATTTTGTATAAGGAAGTGAGATATATACATAACCACATACTAGTGATCTGAGTGCCAAAATCTGATGCAGAACATAAAAACAGCAATGAGGCAAACAGCTGTACTTGAGATGAGCAGGTTCAGCAGGAAAAAGACTGAATAAGCTAATGCATTCAATAATGCACCAGGTAGCCCCCAGGGAAACAAATAGTGGAAGATAAGTGAACTCTGTTTTAGAGTGGGCCAGGCAATGTAAGTCTGGGCCTCTTGCCTCTGACAGATGTTTCAGGAGCTTTCCTAGCTTTAAATGCCATGCAGTTTCTGGACTCTCATCTGAATTTCCAGGTGAGCACATAAGGGAGGACATTGGCATGTGATTAACAGAGGTGCTCCAAAACTGATTACACAAAAGAATCCTGAAATCAGGAATGCTAGAAATAGGGGACACCTGACAGTCTGTTTTCAACCCAGCCTCCATGCCTCCATGCTGACTGTCAGTTTTATGCAAGCCGGCTTAAGTGCTGGTTTACCAGTTTTTCCCTAGACTGAAAAAATGCTACTTAGTCACATTCTATTTGTCTTGGAAGTTGGGGCCCATGAATTCCTATTTTTTTTTAAAGTTTTATTTTATTTGTGCATACAGAACTGGGGTACAGGCCAGAAATGCAGGGGCGGTGATTGGATTCACCAAAGACAGAGTGGGGAGCAGAACAGGGAGACTGACAAGTACACTGCTGAGGGGAGCAGCGGGCAGGTCAGGAGAGGTCTGCCACGCCATGTGGTCACCTCCGGGGCAGGCAGGGATTGAACTCATGCCAAGATAGCTGTAGGTTCTTAGTGCTGTGCTCTAACCCTCTGCGCCACCAGGGAGGGCCTGAATTCCTATTTTTTAAAAGCCCTTTGGGGTATGCTAATACGTGAGATCCAAGTCTGTGTCATTCCTAAGTATTTATCTATGGTGCCTTCTGTTGCAATTATTTTTAGTGTTTGGGAACAATCTTTGATTTCTCCACTTAGATCAAAAACTCCTAGAAGGCAGGAATGTTTAACACTTTTTTAGTCCTCCTCTTACTTAGAAGTCTAGTACACAAGAGACATCACTAAAGCGGGTTCGATGAATACATTCTATTAAATAGAATGAATGAATTTCAAGGTTTGAGGGACATGAAGGTGCTAGTTTTTCCACTGGCCTGCCACAATGCCCTCAAAACCTTATCATTTATATTTTGGGTATTGTTCGCAGAAACTGACTGTAAAGTGCAAGTTTCCTAGAAGGGACAAGTATCAGTTGCAGATTACAGTAACAAAGCATGAAGCTCTTGAGGGAAAATGGGAAAAAATTCAATGTGTGTCCCATGACTTGAAAGGACAGAGATTCTAGGAAAGGACAGAAATAAGGAAGTAAGTCTTAGGAAAGGCTCATAAAGAATGTTGAACACAAACCCTGCTTTCCCCAATTTTGTCTAGGGCTTCTTGCACATTTAGGAAAGAAGGGAGAGGGGAGGAATGGAAAATATGTGACCAACTTGCAAAAGTGAATATGCTGAGGAAATTCAAAATATAGTTCATATTCCAATACCACCATACCAAAGGGTCTAACACCGTGTGTGTGACAAGAAGGGCTTGGGAATATTTGCTAATGTTGAAGTTGTATCACAAAACTACAAATTTTATAGTACCATTACCATAATTATATTCAAAAAATAGGTAAGAAGGAAGGAAAAGGGAAGAAAGTAAGTAAGCAGCCCCAAAGGTTCAGCCCTGCATAGGCGACATGCCAATAAGGAGAAACCCCAGATGGCAAAGCAAATGTAGATGCAAACGCTGGAGGATGAGGACACTATTAACACCTGAATAAGGAACATAATAAATGATTCTAAGTTGAGGAAGATGAGCCACAGAGCCAGCTGCGTTTGGTCAATCTGGGAAGAGTTGAATTACTACAATGAGTAACCAAGTATATAATAGATACTTTCTAGACTTTCAGCAAGCTAGAAAAAGTATATAGAACTCTATCAAGTTGGGCCTCGTTGGTGGCGCAAGAGGTCAAGTCTCAGCACTATGAAGCTAGCTGCAGCCACTGCAGCAAAGTTGGATCCCTGGCCAGGCTCAGCAAACCACTCCTGCCTCACCCACTGCTCCCCTCAGCAGTGTATTTCAGTACATCTGCCTGTTCGGCTCCCCACTGTCTCTGGTGAATCCTCTCACCCCGCACATCTCTGGCCTGCACCCCAGCTCTAGTATGCATAAATAAATCTTTAAAAAATGTTAAAAAAAAATCGAGTTGAACTGCAGAAGAGGAAGGACTGGCTCTTCATTCTTCACTAACACACTTAAGTTCCGCAACTTTGTTTTTGGTGTCCACTGAGGTATTGGAAGTAATCCTGATGAGCATGGTTAAAGGATCATGGTTCTTTCGACACTATCAATTCCACTTATATCGTTGATTCAGTTCCACTTATAAGTTGATTTCTGCTTGCAGGAACTTCCTTTGAGCTTTTTCTCTCCACATCTAATATCCCAACCATCTTGGAACAAAATCGCCCAACTTAACTTCTTAAACCAATCTCCAGAACTAAGAAAAACATGCAGAGAGTCAGGGATTTTAGGAAAGCCGTACAAAAGACATTTGTGTTATCAGCTCTTATTTTCTCCTATGTTTCTAGTATGATTTATCATTTGTAATTATCATGTCTTACTTTTATCATCTGTGAAATGATGCCCTAAATGACCATCTTTGAGGTGACTTCTAGTTCTAAGAAATCTTTTTTTGCTCTAAAGTTTTATAGTAAAAAAATATTATAAGTTAAGTATTTTCTAGCTCCAGCAGTTTAAAAAATGTTGTACCCATTCTGAACATTTAAAAATAGGCACCTGAAAATAATTCACAGATATGAGACAAAAAGTTCTAAGATCTTTAAAAAAAAATTGGCACATCATGCTATTATGAAATCCCCATTTAGTACTTTTATTTTAAACAGTTTAATTGGGATGAAATCTCAAGTTCTTCAAGTTTTTCTTCTACAAGCTTCTTTTGGCATGTAAATCCCACAGGCCAGTGTTAACTTAAACATTTCAGTTTGCAACCCTTTGTGCCTGTCCTCAAGTTACTTCCTCTTTAGAACACCCTCAATTTCCGGTTTATCTAATGAATCCTGCCAGCCACTCCTTTTTCAATAAGCGATCATCTGCAATTTCTTATATCAGTCACTAGGCTCTTGAGAATTTAGAAATGAATTATGGAAGCATTTTCTATTTTGAGCTCCTTTTTTTCACTTAAAATTTCCCACAAGCATTCTTAGGAAAGTGAGATTGACTCAGTCACTCTACTGTTTAAAAACCTTCAATAACTCACCTTCATTTACCAAAGAAAGCCTAAACTTCTTATCTGGCAGTCAAGGCCTTTCACAAATTGATGAACTTGACACACATGTGCTTCATGATCTCCAGCTTATCTGGCTGGCTACACTTCGTGCCTTCACTTCCTTTGCCTGTCTGCACCCAGGAACATTTTACTGACTGTGGAGAGCATACCTCAAACCCCATTTCTTAAAAAAGCCTTTCCTGACATTTTAGAGGAACCAGCTCAGTCACAGCACAACTTCCCTCTTCTCAGCTCTCACAAGAATCACTACACAGTTTATACTGCTACTGAACACCTGTATAGTTTCTACCCCTGTACTATTTCTGTACCACAAAACTGTGAGGTCTTTGAGAAGATGCACTAATCTCCTGTGTATTCACTCCAGGGGCTGATTCGGTCAAAGGGTTGCACAGCTCTGACAGGCCACATCCTTCTTAAACAGTATTGCACATATCATTCAATCACTTTTGCACCCTGAATGGAGTTCCTGGTGGAGAAGTGATGATGCATAAGAACATGAACTGGTGCACTTTTCATCATCCCAAATAAGCAGATGGTTCCTTCTACATCTATGATTTTGGTGAAAGAATGTAAAGTTGAACTTGGAAATGAAAAGAAGAAAATGCATTTAATTTTAAGGTATCTGAACAAACAAGTTTTTTTTTTTTTTCTGTGTCATTCACAAGAGACAGCATAAAAGCTGATACAGAGTTGTCAAAAATCTCTAAAGAATGTGTGGTACAAGACAGGGGTGCGGGAGGAGTTACTCCTGGCAGTTTGCACTCCCAGATGGATGTTCCCTGTGTCCCTAATTAACATTCTGTGTGCAGACAGTGATTTCTATCAATGGGAATTACTGACATAGAAACCAAACTGTGTCTTTTGGGTTGTAAGACGGTCCAAAGTACAATGCTACTACATCAGAGAACAAGAGAAAAGGCACATTTGCTTTCTTTAAAAGTGGGAAGCCTGTACATTAGTGTATTTTAATCACTTTTTTTTTTTGCTTATAATTTTCATGTAACTTTTCTAGTTTGGGATATAACATAGAGAAACAATGATTAGCACATTTTATAAGTGGATAAGATGATTTTAGTGAAAGGCGTTTTTAGAATTTATTCAGGAGGGAAGGTGTCCTTGGTAAATTTAATGGAAGGATTTTCATGGTACAAATAATAATACCTGTTTTCTTCCCTAAGCTCATTTTCCATAGCTTGAGTTTCCCGTTTCAACTTCTGGGACCTTGTGTAATCTCTCCAGGCCCGCAGGACCTTCAGTTGAAACTTCCAGTCGGAGAGGGTTCCAGCTTTCCCCAGCTTAATCCTATGATCAAGAATCAGCTTGTGCCAGGCAGAGAAATAGCGTTTTTGACACTGAAATGGAAACATTTGGAAAATTACCACTGAGTTGCACTATAGTGTCTAATATCTAACATCAAAAGGTTTCTCTCCAGATCTCGTCCTCCCACTTTTCCTAACAAATCTAGGAACTGTTGTCTTGATGCCAGTGAAACAGACAGGGCACAACTGCTTTATGCTGACAGTTACAAGAAATCTTCAAGTCATGCTACTGCCTATCAACCTCACCACTGACACTAGAGTACTTAATTCTCACTGTAAGGGACCAGTCATGTAGGGAGCTAGAGTAACAGTCACATCTAAGACCTGAGTTAAAGGACTTGCTTGAGAGGCGTGAAAGACCTGCTTACAATAGGACCTAGGAGTTTCAAATCAAGCATTTAATTCATCCCTGTTACTAATACCAATTTTGTCCCACACAAACAAATATAGGAGATCCCATGAGGAGGGAATTAGGTCTCTGGTCCTTTCAAACAAGACAGCTAAAAACAATAGCTTCAGCTAGGCTAAACTGACCATGTTAGGGCTTTGATGAGCCAGCCTACAAAGACAGGGTAGGATGCCTGCAATCTTCCACCTGACAATAAATCAAACAAGGCCTGCTGAACCCACGGATATCCCCAGAGAAGTACTTTATTCATGGTCCTAGAATTTAAAAACTCAAGAGATTTAGTCCTTTCTACATCTTTCTTCAAAGCAAACTTCTTGCTCCTACTACATCAAATTACTCTCAGTCCTTGGCCTTACCTCACTGTACTCTTTCAACTTCCCTATCTATGTTCATACTAATTTCTCTGCCTGAGTACCTCAGGAGTGATTTAGCTCACGAAGCCCTCCTATTACCAAGTCTCTCCTCAACTATAAGTGCCCTCTCCTCTGTTCCCACAGCAACACAGAAGAACTTTGTTGGAAGTTTGGGAACTGAACAAAGTTGTTTTAAGATATAATCTTCTCTTTTTAGAGGTTACAGGAAAAGAAAATATATAAATACAAAGACCAATAACATAAGGAAGTACATATTCAAATTCTTAAAAATAGTCTATTTGGCCAGAAATATTTTCTAGATAGGTCCAGTATAGTCCTATTTAGGCAAATTACAAAATCTTCTTTCTTATAATTTTTCATGTGTTTCATACTAAAAAATCCTGTGTATTTACCAAATTCATGTAAGGGACCTCTTGAATGAACTATTTTATGTAGAACTACCTTTAGTTTTAACTCTTGGAATATTGCTAGTGTTGAAATTGTACAAACATAATTGATCTTAGTAATAATAACTGTATAACAGTATCCTTCTTGGATTTCTACATTTCTTTTTTTATAAAGTCAAATACCTTACACATACTATTTTATTAATTTGTAGACTATCATTACAAAACAGAGAGGCCACAGATATTATCATGATTTACCTCACCAAACTAAATTTCATGAGGAAAATGCTTGACATCAAGGCCCAGAGGTAGAGTGAGTGGTGCACCTAAGGCTAAAACTGAAATATTCTGCTATCTTGGTGATCCTAATCTACTGGATAAAAAGTCTCTCCTTAAAAGAACTAGCTCTTTGCTTTTTTTTTTTTTTAAACAGCAGAATGCATACAGAACTGGGGTACAGGCCAGAGGTGCAGGGGCGGTGAGAGGCTTCACCAGTGGGGAGCAGAACAGGCAGATCTACGAAGTACACTGCTGAGGGGAGCAGCGGGAGGGTCAGGAGAGGTCAGCCACGCCATCTGGTCTCCTCTGGGGCAGGCAGGAATCAAACTCATGCGGAGTGGCTTTAGCTTCTCAGTGCTGTGCTTTAACCCGCTGCACCACCAGGGAGGGCCAACTTTTTTTTTTTTTAAGCTTTATTTATTTATGCATACAGTACTGGGGTACAAGCCAGAGGTGCAGGGGTGGTGAGAGGATTCACTGGAGACAGAATAGGGGGCAGAACAGGCTGAGTGATGAAATACACTGCTGAGGGGAGCAATGGGTGGGTCAGGAGAGGTCTGCCAGGCCATGTGGGTCACCTACGGGGCCGGGATCGAACTCATGCTAATGTGGCTTTAGCTTCTTAGTGCTGTGCTTTAACCCACTGCACCACCAGGGAGGGCCCTCTTTGCTTTTTTAATAATGAAAAAGAAAGAATTTGATATATAACTTGCTACTTTAGAAAAACGCTGCTAGAACATATCTGAACTTAAAAGGGAAAAATCTGTCTTTAAACTTTGAGAGCAAAATGAGCAATTTTTAAGGTCTATCACTCAGTTTCACAATAGAGAAGTTAGTAACAGCAAAGTGACAGACTCATACAGCAAGCACTTTTTTGAAGTGTACTGGATATTTTTTCCCTGTCTATTCAAAAGAGCAACCCCACCTAAAGTGTTAAAAGAAAAAGAAAGGTATGAATCAAGAATAGCCATAGTTATAGCCATGGCTACAGTTATAGCCATAACTATGGCTATTTTTGATTCATTATAAACACAGAATTTGGCAAACAGGTGTTCCACAAATGTGCTTGGAGGAAAATATTTGAGAAACTAATACACTTTCTATTTGGGTCTTCTCTGGGAGATAATTTTCTTTAGAAGGCAGAAGAAGGGAAACACATGTATTTTCCTAATCTAGTCTTTCTATTATTCCTCCCCCTGGTGAGTTCCTGCCATTTCCAGGTCTGCTCGTCTTCAGTCCTTTGCACTCAGAAACTTCATACTCTCCCTTTGCTCCTTGAAAGAGGAACTATTATTTAATAGCACAGCTGGGGTGGAGGAGGAATACAACCTGTTTAAGTCACAAGAATTAGTATTTTAACTAGCTAGACAACTAGTCTGACCTCCCTCCATTTCTATCTTGTTAATTTATTTCCGCACATGTTACTTCTGAGAGATGTTCAAAAAACAGTCATGTATTCTTTTACTCACTTCCACATCTCTTTGTCATCGGGATGGTGATAATCAGGCTTGGTATAGATAAATAGAATGGGAAAAAAAAATCACTGTGGAAGAACTGTTCCCAAGTACAAAAAATTTTTAATAATATTAAAGATAAAATACTACAAAGTGGAATTTTAAAAGATTTTTTTAAGTGAAAAGGCTTTTCTTGCTCAAAATCTTCCTCAAGACATTATTTGGTTGTTAAGGATTCCACTTGAGAGAAGGAATGACAGCTCGCCCTGTTAAATTTATTACCTGCACTGGAGTTGCCCTCGTTTTGTTGGCAAGAAAAGCTCTTTCCTGAAGTGTAATCACACTGCTGTCACTGGGAATGATTGACGTTAGGTGGAACAGCAATTTGCTATCTAATCTTCATTGTAATTCTAACCCTGTCACTAGAGATGCTTCTTCTGATTAATGAAGTGGGTAACTCATCAAAATTCCTCAGCTATTTTCCTTTTGTCAGAAAGCTCAGTGATAATTGCATCAAAATTCTCAGTCATGGAAAAATAAACAATGAATTGTAAAGAGGACAAAAATGTCAACAAGTTTACAATTTATTTTTTCCAAATGGAACAAACTGCAGTACAACTTGTGGTCTCAGGGAATTGGGTAAGACTGGAATGTTAGCCCTGAAGCACATGGCTCCCCACCTGACCCTCTGCTGTTCTTAGGTCAAAGGGGACAAACAGCCTAATGCTATAAAAGGAAGCAATCCCCAACTTCTTTTTCCCTTTTGGGATCCACTATAGCTAGGCAAAAGACTCTGCAGACCTATGAAGTAGCTGGTGGTAGAAAGTGAACATTTATTTTTGGCAAATGAATACCCATAGAAAGAAGCAGAACTGAAAAGTGGTACCCAGAAGGCTCATCCTATCCCTGATTTTCATAATTTTGCTCCAAACAAAAGAGGAATCACGGTTCCCCTTGCCCCCAAACACATATATTCCTATAACTATTAAAGAAAATCCATTCAGTTCTCAGTATAGAGCACTAAGAATCGGGACTTGGCATTTGGTCCCAGGGAACAGCCCGGAAGCTTAAACTTTGACCGCTGTGGTTACATGTTACCTTTGGCTTCAGATAAAATGCTACTACTACTATACCCTGGAAGATGTGATGGTCATTCTATGTCTGCATTTTAATTTTTTTCTCCTTTTCAAACCTAAAAAAAACATTATAGAAATTTAACATAACCAAAAGTAGAACAGAAGAATAAATTCCTCACCCAGCTTAAAAAATGACCAATTTTATACTAATTTCACCTCATCTCTCCTTTACCTACATTTTTTCTAGAGTATTTAAAAATCTCAGATATGAGATATTTTATCATTTTACTATAAATGTGTCACTTTGTATTGCAACCTACAGACAGTTTATAAATTCTTGTAAGCAGTTCAACTAATAATATTACTTTATCTAATATTGTTTCATCCCAGATGTAGAAGAACTTCAAAAAACTATTGCTTAGACTCACCAGTTAGTAAATTCTTAACCAATAAAACTCTTTAGAATCTTTTAATAAAGAATGACAATAATGCCTCCTATAAACTGACTATTCATTAGAGTTCTTTTGTCAATAGAGCTTTGACAAGTTTCCAAAGCAAAGCAGACAAATCTACAGCTACCCATTACCTTGTCTACCCTATCCTTTTCCCCACCTAAACCTTCCCCATCTCTCCCAATCCCCACTCCCTGACCTTTCTCTCACATCCCTAAACTTCCTCCCACTCCCTCTATGCCAAAAAATACTGTTTATCTCAGACTATATTAAATAACTGTTTGGTTCACCTCTAGGGGAATCTGACATTAAGCCAATATGGTATCATTTACTCCATATACTTATGGTTCTGAAGATCCCCACAAATATTCATCTGAAACATCTATTTAGGAGAAAAGATATTCTATTCTGTGTAATTTTAGAGGAAGGGCTTGATTTATGCCAAAGATTTTTTCTTAGTTTTTTTTTTTTTTTTAGATTTATTTATTTATGTTTACAGAACTGGAGTATAAGCCAGAGGTATGGTGCGTGAGAGGATTCACCAGAGACAGAGAGGGGAGCAGTAGGCAGGTTAGAAGAGGTCTGCCAGTCCATGTGGGTCAGTCCCTGGCCCAGGATGGAAACCTGTGCCGCAGTGGCATAGGAGAGCCCATAATGTGGTGTTTTAACTCTTTATGCCACCAGGGAGAGCCCTTTTTTTTTAGTTTTTTAGAAGCAGGGTTTAATCAGTATTATTTTTCAAAAGACAAAAACAAACAAAAAATCATCTGGGATCAATAAAGATTTCACAACACTCTGAAAGGCAAAACAGCAGTCCTTTATTTTGGTAAACTGGCCTTCATTGTCCCTTCCCTGAGAATGGGAAACCCAGATTATTCAAAGAGTGGGGAAGAATTATAAAAACAAAATAAACAACAGCCTCCTTACCAAAATGATAAAATTTTACTTGGAAATTTTCCATGGAGTTGGCTGTCTGAAGTATTTTATATAATTAAGCTTCAAACATCTCCTAAAAAGCATACCACATTTTACTTCTTGACAATAGGCTTAAATGGGACAGTTACACGAACCCCAATATTCTTCATGTATGTGCCAATGCCTCCCTTTCTATAGTTGTACATGCAAAAAGACTCTCCTTCATTTTCTTCTACAAACATAAGACAACCATGCTGAGAGGACTGTTGCTATGTTTCAGTTCAGAATATTTTTCTTTTGTGATGTGTAGGCAGTCCTGATAAAGCTAAGATCGCGGGGAAGGAACCGTGCTATATAAATGATGTTCCTAACGAGAATTTTCATCATCTTGTGAGGGGGGAAAGAAAGCCAGTCTTCTTTTTAATATCATCTCCACATTCTTCTAGCTTATTTTGGAGCTGCCTTTTGGAATGTTGTATGCCACAGGCATAGCATCAACAGTGATTGTTTGCTACATTATTATTATTTAATAGGAAAACCAAATGAACAAACCAAAACCACTCCCCATAGAATCAAGATTTAGGTTAGTGTCAACCTATCATTCACTGTTCTCTCCAACTTTCACAAGTGGAAAAGATCTTAGACTTTCTTATCTTATTAAGAAAACATTAAATATTTTTCAGAATAGGGTGAGAATTAAGAAGGCCCTTTTCCAAATAGTATAAGGATTTTATAGTTAATCCCTTGTTGTTTCTGCTAATTAGCAATGACATGTCGATTGCTGAATCTCACCAAGAGATTTCACTGTAAGATCAAAGAGAAAATAGGAGAGACAGGAAGTACAAAGTTTCTATGCAAAAACAGATGCTTTTGAATAAAGTGACCTGGCAATAAAATACGTGGTTAAAGTACATGAATCGTGCTGCACCTGAACTTGTGTTTTGATAAAAGCCTGCACTGTTTTTCTCCGAAAGCCTATTAATTAATATGGTCCAAATATTAACACAAGAGTTTTTTTGGGGGGAGGGGGGTCCAAAAATACAATCCAGAGCCAAAGTGCAAAGAATAACAGAGCTAAAGCAACTTTTAGAAACAGATTTTTTTTTAAAGATTTATTCATTTATGCATACAGAGCTGGGGTACAGGCAGAGGTGCAGGGGTGGTGAGAGGATTCACCAGAGACAGAGTGGGGAGCAGAACAGGCTGGTCGATGAAGTACACTTCTGAGGGGAGAAGCAGGAGGGTCAGGAGAGGTCTGCCACGCCATGTGGGTCACCTCCGGGCCTGGGGATCAAACTTGCACTGAAGCGGCTGCCGCTAATTTACAGTGGTGCATCCTTACCTGTTGTGCCACCAGGGAGGGCCCAGAAACAGATTTTTAAAAGTCATCTTGCACAGCTGCTCTAAATAGCTGCACTGGGTTTGTGCCAGTGAATGATTCTGAAGGTGCTGTCATGAGCTTCCTATTATTTAGCCACTCACTACAACAAGCCAGCTAGGCATTTCCCCCTTTTTGATCCTATAGTCATATTTAGGCTGCTGAGTATCCAAGTTTCATTACCCAAGGGCAGCCTCAGGTTCCTTTAGAACCAGGCTAGAGATGTGGGCTGGGGCAAGGATAATGAGCCCAGAGGGTCTGCTGCTGCTGGTGCATTTACCAGAAAACTGTCCTATCTCTAGTCAGGACTATGTGAAAAGGGTAGGTGGATTTACCCCATGTCTTATTTACATCAATATGCACTGGAGAAATCTAAATTAGAAGTATCCTAACAAACTTACAAGTGAATAACATGAACACTATAAAGGGGAAGAGGAAGTACAGAACTAATCTAAGCAATGATAGGTTGCTTAAGGTTGAAAATGAAAATAAGTGTAGAAATGCTATACCCTAGTTAGTAAATCTGTCTCCATAGCCGTATGGGTTAGCAATTCTGACACTACTTTTATAGCATAGTAGGATTAAAGAAGTAAATACATTTTAGATAAATAACTCCAGGTTTCTCATTGTCAGCCAAAGAAGATACAAATAAACAAGGGGTAACTCTGTGGTGCTGGGTTAGGATTGAAATTATTAAATTGAAATGATTAACAAGTCACAATTACTTCAATATATATACAAAGAAATAGAGAAATAGTTACAAACAAGGAAGGGGAAGGAACACAATTCCATATTGCTACAGTTTATTTTAAGGGAGCCTTTTGGAATATTCTATGCCATAGGCATAACATCAACAATGAACTGATGTGTCAGTATGCATTCTTGGATTTCATATTTATACAGATAGACACACAAATTAATGAAATGTGTGCTTTAGTCTATATACAATTATTTCTCAGTTCTGGCCTGAGGAGAGGGCTCAGAAACAATGACACCCCACTGGCTATGCAAACATCTACTACCTTGAGTTCTAAATTCTACTCTTCAAGTCAAAGGAAGGAGCCCTCCTATAGAAATGGTTGATTCTAAGGCTTGAGCAGGGAAATGCAAGGTGAGGCTGGTGACATTCTAATAAGATATATAGTTTAGTTAGTAATATTTAGTGACATTTTACTAATGTTAATTTCCTACTAATCTGATAATTATACTATACTTATGTAAAAGTTAATATTTAGGAAAACTGGGTGAAGGGTATTAAGGAACACTATATTATTTTTGCAACTTGTCTATATATCTATAATTACTTCAACATGAACTTAAAAAAAGTATAGATTCAAATCAAGCAGAATCTGTGGTAAAGCAGAGATAATTTGTTCATAGTCTCTCATTTCTAAAACCAAGTAATCAATTTTAGGTAGGTCACTAATTTTGTAAAACTCTTTGCATATTTTTAAAATCCATATTGAGCACTTAAACCCAAAACACATTACTTCTTCTGCACAGTAGATTTAAATAAAATTTAAAATTAATCTTACTGGGAATGAGTGTCGTTCATCACTCTGATTAGGTAAGATATCATGGCATTTTTTCCTTATACTGCCTCAAAATGATCCTCTACGTAGTCACTTTCCTTCTTATTTTCTTCTAGAAATCCTAACGGATATTGCAGGAGGACACACTAACTCCATCTGTCTCATGAGGAATGTGGCATCTAAGAGTCTTTACTTATCTTTTACTAAATGTTAATCCCAACTCTTAACATTTCCTCCTACCACACTTCCTTCTCTCTTCCTAAAGCTGAAACTCTGGCCAAACTCTTGTTGTTTCATATATGAATATCACTTTTTACCCATCAGTCCAAATGCCACCATCATATGTGAGTTTTTTTTTTTAAATGCTGCTTTGATTAGTTTTTCCCTCAGATCTTAGTTGTCAGTAACATATGTAAATTCCTTTTATTAATTTCCAGGGCCTCTGTAAGTCTAACCTACCTTTATAAAGCTTTTTCAATGCCTTCCTGACATTCTCTAGCTAAATTCATTCATTCATGCATTCATGCATTCATGCCATTAATCCTCACTAATTTCAGCAATGCCTAAGGTCCCAATGTTGTAAAAGCTATACATATATTTATCTTTTTACATTTGACCTTCTCATTTGTCAATCTCCCAAGTAATTCCTTTCTCCTGAAATGTTATAAACCCCAAATTCATACTGTTATCAATCTCACTTCATTGAAAAAAAAAAAAAAACACATGCTTCTGTTTACATGGCTTGGAGAGTATGCTCATTTGTCAATTAAAAAGTAGACAGTTAATTTTATGAACAGTGAAAGTAAAAAGAGGGAGAGCAGAAGAAAATACAGGCTACCAAAAGGAGAAGCATAAATGTAAGCTTATCATTGTTTTATGTAAGCTTATCATTGTTTTATGATCTGAATTGCCAAAAGACAAATGACTTTCTGAATAATTCTTTAGAATAAAGCAGAACACAGCAATCCATAAAACTCATTATGGACGCTAAGTTTCTGCCAAAGATCTGCTTTAATAGCTGAATGCTATTCTGACAAGGATAGTTTAGACTAACATTCCAAGTTAATACCTTGATTCTCCAGGATCACACAAAGTGTATATGAATAACTTCTGAATGAGGAAATGGATCACTGCCTATGCCTTAGGCCAGGTGGGTGGCACCGAACCAATGGTGTGGGCAGTTTTGGAATCTGTGACGTGGCTTTGCTGGGTTGAGCATTACTCTGTCCCATTGCTGAGGGAGCGCTTTCTCATCTATGCTGAGCTTGCCGAATAAAGGATAATTATAAATCCTACCTGCTGATTTTCCTTGAAAGTCTGTATTAATAACTCTTTCAGTTTCTTCTTTCTTTTTTTTGCCAATTTTTCTTCATCCAGCATGCCTTTTTCTGGATTTTTGAGGGAATTTTCTTCTTGCCTTTTCTTCTCTCTATTAATAACAATTTAAATATCTGTGTATAAACAGTAGACTTAGTAATGAATAATTACAACCTACCATAGTGGAATAAACACTGACTTTTTCTGTATAAGACACAGATTTTTAGATCTGGCTAAAAAACTAGATAGTGGGGTTGTTTTTGGTTTTTTTGAATGTTAGCTTATTCCTTTATAAACACAAATTAAATAAAATTATTCTAATGTATACTGAGAAGTAGAAAGTACTACAGATATTTTGGTAAAGCATTTTTATAGAGTTTAATATTACTACTTTGAACAAAATTAGAGAACTGGGTTTTCTTTAATGTAGACATCAGGTCTCTTTCTTACAAAGGGGAGGAGGACAAAAGAGGACCCTCAAGAAAGAAAGTACTGAGGGTATTCGAATAAAACTTCTCAAGATTCTAGGCAGTAAAATAATAAACAGGTATTATTGGTTATGGAGAAAATGGAATTCAGATGAACTAAAATAGCTGAAAAGAGAAAACAGAACTCACTGACAAGAAGGAAAAGGCCTTCAGGACTTTCTGGCCATTCTCTTCCTTCCCTACCTAGTGATTTAGTCCTCACCCAGGTCCTCTCTCTTATAGTAATTCAAGCAGGGTCACAGCCATTGCTCTCTAATTGAAGTGTATTAAAGTATGTAATTATCTGTATGTGTGAAAAATATATACCCTGTTAATGATGTCGTAAAGATAAAACCGAATCAGGAATCAAGGTTCATGGCTCTGGTCACAAAACAGCTGTGAAAACAATGAAACTCACCTCTCTTTGCAAACTTTGCTTTACAGTTGAGGAAACTCAATTTGAGAGAAGGGCTACCAGGGTACCCCAGAGAGAGTCTGCTATTAATTCTCATATATCCTACAGATTTCTAATGTTGTTAACCATCACTTGGCTAAGGTTGCATCTCTAGTCTAAAGTTACTATCTTACCCTAGTAGTTAATAAATGGAAACAACACAATGTAGGAGATTTAGGGTAGCTTACAAAAAGTTGAAAGTTGTAGCAACAATAAAATGCTACTGTCGCTTTCCAAACTTACTAATGCCATAGGAATGTTATATTTGATGGTTATAGGCAGATCATTAAAATATGCATCTGTTTGAAACTAATATCTGCTCATTGAAAAAAATTGCAGCAGTCTAAATGCCATCTAGAAAAAACCACTGATAACATATCAGTATTGTTTCACTACATAACCATTTATTAATTTCTCCAATATTTTATAATGCCTGATTATAAATTAAATTATTTAAATTATCTTTGTGCACAAATCTTTGTCTGGATGTCTGATCATTTTCTTAGAGCAATTTTCCTAGAACTGGAATTCCCCAGTCAGGAGACAACACCATTTTTCTTATAGCTCTTATTATTTATTGCCAAATTGCTTTCCAGAACACTTAAATGAGTTCATCCACCTTGAGATGTAGCATATTATCTGTCTCACTGTAACCACGGTAAGATTTTAACTTTTAAAAGAAATGAGTGGTGAGTTGCTGAGTGCCCACTGTGAGCAGAGCATCTTTCTGCCATCAAATGTTACCTGTTCTCACAATTTATTTTAGGTCAGCCTAGATTTTTCAGAGCTTGAGAGGAATCTGAAAAGCAAGGTTGACCTTAGCAAGAACTCACTAAAACACTGGTGATTGCTTTCTGCAAGAGAGAGCGTCTGGAGGAGGCCTGAACCTGGCACTTGAAAGAGGGAAGTGCGTCCCAGGCTGGCTGTTTTAAATTGGGTAGAATAAGAGCAATCAAGAACACAAGGGAGAAAAGCTGTGTAGGCTGATGGGGGTGAAAGGGATTATCTAATAGGCCTTTCCGGCCTCTCAGTTTGAGTATTCAGTCGCTTCAGTCACGTTGTTCCAAGGCTTTTACAGTTCATGCATCAGTGCTGTTTCTCAGAATAAATACGTTAGTTATTTCTTGTATAAAGCTCATTTTCTGCTGAGGATATATAATAGTACTACATCCTGTGAGAACTCTTTTGACTTCTTATCAGTGGCCGTAAGGCAATGGTGACTCTTCAGAAGATAAGACAGCGAACAATTCCTACCGTGATGAGGCATAATTAGTGAATGCGCATGCAGACACATGTTCAATGCTAAAAATGTTTAGGTAACCAAAGAAATGGATACTAGTCAACATAAGGCCTATGAAAAGTGAAAAAAAAAAAGATGGAAAAGGATAATACTCTCCACTGCTGAGAAAAGTAGGGGAAATAGGCCACTGTTGGTGATAATGTAAATATATAAACCCATTTAGAAGGCTATTTGGCTACATTTCAAGAGTCATAAAAGGGCCCATATTTTTTAGGGCAGTAATTAAACTCCTAATAATACAATTCAAAAAAATGGGAATGCTTCCTTAAATATGATCACTGCACACTATTATATTGGTAAAAAATTTGAAATAGCTGAAATGCTTACCAGTATGGGAAGAAGAGGTGATGACATAAAATAATGATACAGGAACTTAATGGAGTAATATGCAGACCTCATGACTCCAGGCAAAGCATTAATTACAATCAGCAGAATAACAAATTAAATGTACTTTATGATTACAATCATGTATATAAGGGACCAAGACCAGGAGGAAACAGGAGAAATGAAAATAATTAATTTGTTAAGATGGCAGAATAATGGGTGATTTCTCTTTTGCGTTTTGTTATTGCAATGTTTGTGCACTTAAACACTTTTAGAGCAATGCAAAATGACTGCTTAGGCAAGAAAACGCCCCCCAGCTCCTCACAGCTGCTTACGTTTGCCATGCTTCTTCTACAGTGCGTTTCCGCTCAATTATCTCCCTCCGCAGCTTCACCATCTCCTTTTGAATCTCCTCCTCCTCTTTCTTGGCCTCCAGAGCCTTTCTTTTCTTCTCTTCTTGCACCAAATAGTGAGCTTCTAAGAAGACTGATTTTTTCAGGGTTTTTTCAATTCTCTGCCGCTCCAATTCTTTCTCACGTCTTAGGCGATTTTCTTTTACCTTAAAGAGAATACAAGGATGAAGTGCAGCCTTTCAAGTAGAAAGGGATATGCAAAACCCTAGAACACATTTTGAAGTCAAAATATACTCAAATTGAAAGATTCTGGCTCAGAATACTGCAGTTTATCAAGAGAGTAAGAGAAATCCACTCACTTAAGGGGTAAGAGTACAAAATAGTAGATGAAGTCAGGTGAGATAAGTCTGAAACAATTTGGGAATGATCTGCATTAGGGAAAGCTGAGACTCTAATGAGTCTGGTGCCAAGGTCCAGATTTTTGCTTAGTAATGATGTCTCATTCATAAGATTTTACCAAATGTATATTGCTGCTATTTGCTTAGGTCCTGTCTGCATACTAACTAGAACTTTAAAAAGAACAATATTTTTTTACAGGCAACCCTGTGAAAGATAGAACAGTAATTTGTTGCCTTAAGGAGCATCACAACCCTTCATTTATTTCTATAATTATTTCTATATATCTGTGATTCTGGAACATACTTGGAAAACAAAAATGAACTTCACAAAATAAGCACACTTGTTTCAAACCTATTAATTCTTTAGGGTTTGATTAGCTACTAATTAAGTAGTGGTTGTTACTCTCTTATTTCACCCTTATCATCTTCTAGACAATGATTATCTCTCATTGAACCTTCTTTCCTTCCTTTTGTCATAAATCCAAGGCATTTCTCTGAAATTCAGTGCTAACTGGGCACACCTTGGTGATGTAAAGTAAGCATAAATTCAGTGTTTGAAAAAGATAGCACACATGTCTAGACTTTAATTCATACTCAGTCTTAGTGCTGGACATGTGGGAAAGATATGGTCATTTTAATTTTCTGAAATTCCTCTATAAAGTTTAGAAATATAATTTTTCCTTAAATTTTCCAACATAAAAAAATCTTTTCCTATAACCTATTCCCTTTGAAGAAAAGAAACTTCCCATATGCCTTTCTAATTCAAAACAGCTGAAGTAGATTTAATTCAGACGTCCTCCCTTTCAAATTATAATCACAAAATGAGTAAATTTTTCAGTTGTCTAGAAAAGTATTATAACAGTCACTAGAATATTCATGACATTAATATATTGATGTCACAATTCAAAAACCAAATTCAAGCAAAACTCAACCTACATATTTCTAATAGGAAATTCCACATCCAAACTGATGGAGTTTAGCTTACCACGTTGGTCAAAAATCAATTATTCCTTTTTTTTTTTTTTGGTTGTCTTAAATAAATTGCTTCTTATCCTCAGTTTCTAAGCATTATTTTTCTTCTGAAGTTCTTATATTTTATTTTTATTCTTTCTAACCAAACCACAGATGGCACCCTTTTTCATAATAAAGCCTAAGTCTTTATTTAAGCCTATTAAATGTGTTACACAAAGATTGCTTCCTGTTATCCATTTTAATTTTGTTTTTCCCTCCCACCTGCTTATGTCTCATCTCCATGGTAAGACGAGGATCCTTCTGCTGCTTCTTGTCTTGGTTTTCCTTCATTCCAAGATCTTCCAACATCCCAGAATCCACCACATCTTTATGGAACAGATGGTCTATAAATTTCTGAACAGTGGTACCTTCTTCTTCTTCCTCCAGATATCTACATAAATCTGAGGAAAACAAAACAGTGAACATTAAAAAAACTTAATTTTAGTATAGTCATTGTGTTTAAATAATCCTGCTACAATAAAAATATAAAGCTGTAACCAATAATGCCAACTGGATGAGTATAATCCTCAGCAATTACCTTCAACTGTGAAGATAAAACCTCATAAGGAATTGTTCTCAACCAAATCACGGAAAACTCTCTGACTGCCAAATCTAAAGAATATTATTTCAGTCTAAACATCCTTGACAACTCCGTTGCTTTTGTAAGAAAGTGACTTTACTGCAATAAAAAGTTGCAGTAAATGTAATTGACATAAAATAAACCACAAATATTTAAAGTTCTGACATATAAGTTCTGACATATTTGTAAGTTCTGACATATAAGCACTTGGAAAATCATCACTATACACAAGATAATGAACATGTCTGTCAGTCTTAAAAGGGTCTGAATTTCAATTTCTAATCTCTTTCTTCTATTTACCCCTATGCTCTTTGTCCTATCTCAGGCAACAACAGGCCAACATTCTGTTACTATAGATTGGTTTACATTTTCTAGAACTTTGTTGTCAAATAAATTGTATACTATGGACTTATTTTTTTTTAATTAGGCTTCTTTCAATCAACATATTTATTTTGAGATTCATCTGGGTTGTATTAGTAAAATAACCCTTTTTGTTAGTGGTTCTACCATAATTTGTTCATTCAATCACCTACGGATGGACAGTTGGGTTACCTATAGATTTGTTGTGTGATATATACAAAGTTTTATTTTTTTCTTTTGGAGAAACGCCTAATCGTGGAATGGTTGGATATGTTAACTTTTTTTAAAATAATAGTTTATTTTTACATATTTTTGTGCATTTTTCCATCTCAGTTGCAATCTCCTTGGGTTTCCCATCACCAAATCACCCTTTTGCCATCACCATAGTCCAGTGCATTTCCCTCCCCCCACTGGAACATATATGTTTAACTTTTAAAGAAACCATCAAACTTTTCAAAAAGGGTTGTATAATTTATATTCCCACCAGCAGTGTAGGAGTGTTCTAATTTTTCTACTCTTCACCAATATTTGGTATGGTCAGTCTTTTGAATTTAAGCCACTTAAATACATGTGTAATGGTGGCTCCTTTTCATTTTATGGGTATTTCTCTAATGACTAATGATAATGAACATCTTCCTTATCAATGTTCTGTTTTGTTCCAAACATCATTCAAAATGGGGTAATGAAGTCTTCAACAATTACTGTTGAAATAACTAATTTTTTATTTCATGTATTTTGGGGCTTTTCTGTTAGGGGTGTGTGTGTATGTGCATGACTATCTTTAGCACTCTATATATATGTTTATAACAATGATTTATTAGGAATTAATGATTTTATTATTATAAAATGCACTTTATCCTGGTAACTTTTTTTTTTTGTCTTAAAGTCTATTTTAAAATGTTTAGTATACTAGCTCTAGCTCTTTTTTGGTTAGGTGTATCTTTTTCCATCTTTTGTTTTCAACCTGTTTGTGTCTTTGAATATAAGGTGTATCTTTTATAAATAAAATATAGTGGTATATTTTTAAATTCATCCTGTTAATCTCTGTCTTTGACCGAAGTATTTAATCTATTTACATTTAATGTAATTCCTGATAAGGTAGGACTTATACTTGTAATTTTATTATTTGTTTTCTATTGTGTCTTAAGTAAATGCCCTTTGTCAGGTTGAGGTATTTACTTTCTGTTACTAGTTTGCTGAGAGTTTTTATCATGAACAGATGCTAGATTTGACAAGTGCTTTTTTGTGTCTATTAAGATAATCACATACTGGTTAATATTTTTGTACTAAAGGGTAAAAGATAATGATAATAAAATCCTAATTCTCCTAATTAAGGAGAATGCTATGAAGATTAGAGCCTCACAAGGGCTTAATGGGATCCTCCTAAAATTTATGCTTCCTATTGTGGAAGGTATTTAGATATCACTTCATGCCTATATTTGGTATGGTCAGTCTTTTGAATTGCATCACTTCATGTTAGGGACACTCTAGAAGTGTCTTTACCTGAGGGGGTAAGGAAGAGTTAAAGAGAATAGCTGATACTGAAGGATTCCTAAGAGCTCATGACTTTGTAATTACTAAAATTGGCATTTTATAGGGCCCTAAACAAGAGGAATCCTGTTAGGTGAGCTCATTAAGGGTATCTGAGTCATGCACAAAGAACTGCCACCATCATCACATACCCTATCAGTATGCTCAGGGGAAAAGCCTCAGATTATTTAGGCACATCTGAAAAATCCTCACAAGACAGCTATTTAACTTATCTGATACTAGCTTTGTGTACAAGTAATAACCTCCCTTACAAAGATATATGAAGCAGGCCCTCCCTGATGGCGCAACAGGTTAGGATGAAGCACTGCGAAGCTGGTGGTGGCTGCTTCAGTGTGAGTGCAATCCCCACCCTGTAGGTGACCTGCATGGCACAGCAAACCTCTCCTGACCCAGCCGCTGCTCCTCTCAGCATTGTACTTCATCAGCCTGCCTGTTCTGCTCCCCACTCTGTCTCTGGTGAATTGTCTCATCTCCCCTGCTCCTCTGGCCTGTAACCCAGTTCTGTATGCATAAATAAATAATATTACAAGGTAGTAGACTATTTTAATTAAAAAGCATGAATTTACTGAGGATATAGCATAAACAATTCAAACTGAATAAAGAAAAATTTAACTATAATGTATCATTATTCAAAAAGTTAAAGACTTCCTTTTAAAACCATTAGATTTGAAACTGAGAACAATCAGATAAATCCTTACCATCAAACTTGTCATATTTCAAATGGTCATTGGCTTCTGGCAGAGAAGGGACACTTGACATGGGGTATCCTTCATCATCACCTTCTTCATCACTTGCTAGTTCTTGTTTAAGTTTGGAATCTAACCAACCATTGACCAGCTCCTGAGCTATCAATTAAAAAAACAAACAAAAACAATCTTTCTAATATTTCAACTACTTCAGAGACTTCTTTATTCATTTTTTTTATGAAAATAAATAGTAAATATTAACTAAGCACTTATCGTCTATCAAATACTGTTCTAGATGCTGGAAGTATAACAGTGAATAAAAGAGGGAAAACAAATCTTACCAACATGAAGTTTACATTCTAACTAGGGAAGAGAAGCAACAAGCTAAGTCAGAGGAAAATGATATTCAAGGAAGAGAAGTCGAGTGTTGATAGTTATAGGTTGGGTGGTGAAAAAGTCCTCACTGAGAAGATATTTGAACAAAAGGAAGGCAAGGAGTGAGAGAGCAAGGCCTGTATCTATGGAAGGGAATTCCACTCCAAGGAGAGAGAGAGCAAAAGCAAAGACCTTAAGGCAGGAGAATGTTTACAGTGTTGGGGAAAAAACAACCAGAAGTTTGGAGAGGAGTGATGGAGAGAGAAAGCGGTAGATGTGGTAGAAGATGTAATGTGAGCATTAGATTTAGAGCAATTCTAGATCAGGGATGACCCCCTGTCCCTACCCCTGATCTTTTCATCCTTAAACACTGGGGTTCCTCAAGGATATCAGTAACTAAAATACTAAATTCTAGAGGAGTTTATGCTTCTGGGAGGTATCTTCAGTTTTAGACCATATTCTTAAGGAACAAAGTTGATTTGTAAACTAGTGATCAAATTATCTACATTTAATAGGTGAAATCAACATGCTGCCCTCTGAGCTACAGGAGTAATCCCAACAACCCTCACTAGGTAAATGTGTGTGTTAAACTGCCTTTTGACGTGCTTCTATTTCAGGAGACAAAATGGCCTTAAATATAGCCTACTTTCAATATTGGGGAGAACTACAGAGTAAATTAACTTTGGGACAGTAGAAAGAAATGAAAATTCAGAATAAGAGAAAAAAAGAACTTTACATTCTCTATTTTGAAGTGCATTGTTTTATTTTAATAAGCGATATACCAAAGAATTGTTAACAGCAAAAATGCATTTCTCACCTTCTGCATAGACTTCATCATAATCCTTTATTTGTTCAGATGCTTCCAAATCTGTGCTTTGGTGCCAAAGACTGGATAAATCTGAATTTCCAGCACAAAATGCTTTCGAAACTGCAAATTCTGAGGCTTTCTCCACTCTCTTCAACATAACAGGAAAAAGATACATTAAGATGACAACTTTGTTCAGTGTTAAAGAATTTCTCTCTTCTTCAAGAATCCAATTTTCTATGAACTGTTAACATATTTTCATTTTTCCATTTTCAAAGTAACTCTTTAAGTATCAATCCCAAATAATTTTCTGGTATTATTTGTTACTACCAAGAGTTATTTGTTACCAAGTTTTAAGGAGTATTCAGAATGTTTACATTCGCACAAACAGGCGTTTAAGCTTCAGGTAACTTTTGTTTAGAGCATCAGTAATGGGATCCTGAAATGTGGACATCCTATTTTAAATACAAAGTATACTATCTCACTAGTTTCCATGCCACTAGGACCTGCATATAAATATGAACCATAGGCAGAGTAACTAAACTTCCTGTACTACTCTGTAGTTTCAGTAAAATTGGGGGAGAGTCATTGAATTGTAGTAATCCTGAATATTTAACTCAGCAGTAAGAATCAAGTCAAAACATGGCCAAATTCATGGGGTTGGGGAAAAGATTGGTGCAAATGAGCGGGCTGTCTTGGCATTTTGGCTAAAACAGCACAAAAGAAGTTATTTTACAACAACATTCCTGACTTCTCCTCTCCCCACGGTTTTCTGTCACAACTTCCGTGCTCCAGTCTTCTAACTTAGGTAGAAACAACAGTACTCTTCAGTTCTCTGGACAAAACCCTGTTAATTCTCCTTGAATCTGTTCCTCACCCCACCTACAATCAGTCAGGAAATGTATTGATTGTATGTTCAAAATATATCCAGAATCTGCCCCTTCATGTCACCTCTGTTGCTATCACCCAGGGCCCAAGACAACACAATTTCTTGACAGTTTATTTGATAACAGCCTTTAGCCAGGGCAGCCAAAGAAATCCCTTTAAAATAAAAGGTATAATATAACATAATTCCATTCAGAACTGTTCAGCGTACTCTTCTTCTCTCAGAAAAGTTAGAGTCCTTACAAGGTGTTCCAAGGTGCTACAAATGGGCCCTCTGTGAGCAAACAGACCTCTTGCCTGTTCCTCTCCCTGAAGAGCTCTCCTTCAGGCACACTGACCTCCTTGTTTATTCCCCCTTAAATACGCCAAGTGTGTTCCTACCTGACTTCGCCTCTGCTGGACTGCTGACCCCCAGATATCCATGATTGTTTCTTCACCACCTCAAGTCTACTCAATTGTCACCTTTATAGTAAGGCTTTTTCTGACTACATGGATCTGTCACCACCCTCCTGGCAAACCCGAGTCCCCTTCTCTGTTCTGATATTCTCGTGGATAATTTGCAAAAGATATAGAAAATACAGGAAAAATAAGAGTCAGAAGAAAACACGATCTAATTAGGTCAGAGTCAAGAAAATATTCACTCTGGAGCAATCTGTTTTCCTCCATTATTTCTCAGCCTCTGATGTCCCCAAACTTATGATGCTGGTAAATATGTCCTTCACTGGACAGTCACAGTATGCATACTACGTAGTCCTTCCCTTTAGGGTTCTTTTTTACCCCCCCCCCCAGTCCAATCCCCTGTAGGGTTGTGTGTGTGTGTATACATACTTGCATATGTAACTAATATAAATAAACCAACTTACTTTTATTAAAACAACCACAAACAAAGCAATAAAAAGAAAACAAAACAAGCAAACAAACAAAAAAACCTGGGTTGTAGACTTAGTTTCTCAGACTTTGAATGAAAGAAATAACATTGGATAATATGTCATCTCCACTGCCCTGGAATTTGTACAGGTTCTTTTGTTTGTTTGTTTGTTGTGTGTGTGTGTGTGTGTGTGTTTTGTACAGGTTCTTAAGAGAGGAGGTAGAGAGTTAAGAGACAGGAAAAAGATTAATTTTGGTATTAAAGAAGTAGAATCTGGTACTAACAAGTAAGGAAGTAAGGAGTAATGTTTTCTTGGCCTTAACAAGTGTTTAGGATATTGCTTAAAATGAAGATGGGGGGGTGGTGGTGCAGGGGGATTAGGTAATACTAAGAATTAGAAATAACCTTGGAATTTCCTTGTTTTAAAATATTACACCCTTTGGACCTCCCTGGTGGCCTTGAGGGTTAAGACTCAGCACTATCACCACTACAGCCTGAGTTTGATCCTGGCCAGGGAGGTGACCCACAAGCCACAGCAGACCTCTCCTGTCTCACCCATTGCTCCCCTCATCAGTGTATTTCAGTTAAATTGCCTGTTCTGCTCCCCAATCTGTCTCTGGTGAGTCCACTCACCCCCCCCCCATTCTGTTCTACTCTGGCCTACACCCAAGTACTTCTACAAAATAAATAAATATTTGGAAAAAAAATAATCACACCCTTTGTAGGAGGTATGGTTCTAGGCATCTGAAGCACATGTAATGTTGCAAACCATTGTTACTTCAATTAAAAAATTCAAAGAAGAGAAACAATGTATGGCATAGAGTTAATAGGAAGTAATGGGGACTTCAATGAGAGCAGTAAACTTGTCAAATAGTTTAAATAAATAAATGTTACATTCTTACCACTTTTCTTTTCAAAATAAATATGTAAAAGCCAGGAGAAGTCTAAAATTATATCTTGGCAAAATAAACATTTGTGTCAGTTTAGCAACTTAGAGGGGGTGAGGGAGGGAGGCAGATGGGGCACTGGTGGTGGAGGGTGAATGGCACATGTGCGTATGGAAAAAAGAAAGAAAAAGCACATAAAAAATTAACAGCTACTCTTTAATCAAGTAGACTATAGGTTAGCTTTGCTGCTAATATTACAGGGGATTTTTTTTTTCTAAAGATTTATTTATTTGTGCATACAGAACTGGGATACAGGCCAGAGGTGCAGGGGCGTGGAGAGGCTTCACCAGAGACAGAATGGGGAGCAGAACAGGCAGATTGATGAAGTACACTGCTGGGGGGAGCAACAGGCGGGTCAGGAGAGGTCTGCCACGCCATGTGGGTCACCTTCGGGGCAGGCGGGGATCGAACTCATGTGGAAGTGGCTTTAGCTTCTTAGTGCTGTGCTTTAATCCACTGCACCATCAGGGGGGGCCCATACAGGGGATCTTAAGGGGAAAACAGAAGTAAAATCTCTGATTGCAAAGAGCTCACTTTGTTTCCTTGTGTGTGTGTGTGTGTGTGGAGGGGTGCTAGGGAGGGAGCATCAAATGCCACCTATATACAATAAACAGCTCAAGGACAGTTCCAAGGCAGTTTGTAAAGGAACAATCCAATTATCCTCATGATCTTGCAAATGTTCAATATGTGCTTCTATGTCCCACAGTCCCATTGTCGACTCTAGATCTTTGTAGCCGATCACCTCTGTTGGCAGAAACAGCAGCTCTGACACACTCTTCAATTCCTCAAGGGTAGCAGATACAAGTATTTCTTTATATATGCTCATGTGCAAATTGCATGTTCATCTATAACAGTTCTGTAATTGAAGTATACTCTTTTTATTAAAGTTTTTAATCACTCCATAAAGGAATAAATGCTGTATGTATGAATAACAAAGTAATTCTGAGAAGAATTTTGTAAGATTGGATTGAACAATTGAGGCAGATAATGGGGAGTTAATCACTGAGAAGGGGCATCTAAAGCTAGGCCATAAGGAAGGGGTCTGGATTGTTCTCTCAGAAAGGAAGAGTATTCCATACTGAAGAACAACATGTGGCAAAGCAAAGAGAAGACACCTGGTAGAGGGCCGCAGAGTACCAGTAATGGGACCATTACACGTAGTTTAATACAAGGTCTTAAATGCCATCCGGAATTGACAGTTTCACCTGGTGGCATGCACAATCAAGATTCAAGAGGAGAGAGCTACATGATAAAACTGCTCAGAAAGCTCAAAGTAGCAGAATACATTGGAGTAAGAAGATAAGTCACAGTGTCACTCTCAAGTCATGATGCGGATGAACTGTAAATTGTGATGGGCTATTGCATTTAGGTGAACTGCCCCACGAGTCACAATTCTACCCAAGTATCTCTCTGATTCTAAGTGAGTTCAATATTTGTGAGGAGACTTACCTCTATTTCAGCCTCAAGGTCTGCTCAATCTCCTTGATTCCACTCAACTGTACTTTAGCAACCCACTGACATGGTCATCCTGATCCAAGACATACAGAATTTTCTACTGTTGAAACCACACACTGAGAGCCCTCTTTCCAACAGCAATCTTCTACACTTACTAAGCACTTGAATACTGGATGGGTACATAGATAGATGACAATGGTTATATTTGGCCTAAGGTCCATGTGGCCTGGTTTCTTTTGCTGCCCTTACTCCCCAAAACTGGTGTTGCATCTAAGTCCTCTAGTCATTATATTCTTCTTCTTCCAAACTATAAGCCCTTTCTCAAACTTTATCATGCTCCATATCTTCCCATATACTACTGCCTCTTCCATATAATAAGTTTAGCTGATTTTGAGGGGTGGCAGTCTACCCAACTGGATTTGGATGTCGTAGGTCCAGAAGATATAATTGTTGCGAATATACCTGTAGCTGTGATTTACTGGGAATGAAATTAAAAAATAAGTTAAGCAAAAGAAATGAAGAGAAAGGTAATAAAAGAAACAATATTATAAAAAGATAATGGAGGAAAGGATTTCCAGAGTAAACTATAATGATGTCAAGCTAAATTTAAAAAGCTTAGAATAAAGATCTGAATTAATTAAATTTCTGAATTTGGTCAGGAAGTCTCTCATGATGGCAGTTTCTGTAGCGTGATAAGAAATAGGAACTGCTAGAAAGAAATTGTAGACATAAGAGAATAAGAGAATCATAAAGGCAAGGACTCCGGGCTATGTACAAAGATGTTAAAGAAAAAAATATATACAGCAATCAGAATGGGCTGCAGCGTCAAGTGAGGGCTGTCATAGTTTTTCTCAAGACCAGGGAGATTAGAAGGCATACAGAGAAAGAGCTGCTGGAGAAGTTTTGGAGAAATGATAACTGATAAAAATCTAACTGAATCAAGCTGGCTGAATTTAGGAAAACTACTGAAATAGGGAAACAGTGTAGACAAAGTGGAGCAGAATTTATCCTTCTGTTTTAAACCTTCCCTCCTGGAAAAGACAAAATGCGCAACTAAGTGCTGAATGGGTTTGGTAGTGGGCCTCGCAACACTGACATGTAAGCCATGCTTAATGGAAGCTGAGGAGTGATCTTTTCAGAGGCTCACCTTGACCATAGCAATGGATCCATTTCAGGTGTCTTCTAAGTCAAGCTGTCTGCAGGAGCCAGGAAGCCTTCCCAATCTAAGCTAGGTAAGGATTCCCACATGCTTCCATTACATCTTTAATTTCCTCATTAGTTTTAAATAAGCTGGACCAAAAACTGTGAGAAGGCAGGCACTGTATTTGCCCTGAGCATTGTTTTCTCTCCAGTACCCAACACAGTGGGCCAGTACTTAGTAAGCACGTGGATACTGGGTAGGTGAAGAGATGGCTTACAACTGTTACATCTGGTCTAGTGTCCATGCAGCCTGGTGCTCATAGCAATTTCAATATAAGAAACAGCTCTTCAAAATACCACAAGGCAGAAGGATATTTTCTCAGGATAAATGCTGCATGATTTTGGAACATGTGGTACACAAATGAGTTGAGTATGGCAGGGTGCCAAAATGATACTCAGAGGCAAGCACCTGAAGTAGATTAATGGTACTTTCAACTTAAATGGTACTTGCACTCAAAAATATACATCTCAGACCTAGATGATATCTCAGGGGTTATTTAACCAAATCCTCCTCTGTTTGAATGCTCACACTTATTCTTCATTAGCCCTAACATTAAGTGACTATTTAGAGTTCCCTTAAATACACCCAGTGATGGAAAACATATCTTTTTTTTTTTTAAAGATTTATTTATTTGTGCATACAGAACTGGGGTACAGGCCAGAAGCTCAGGGGTGGTGAGAGGTTTCACCAGAAACAGAGTGGGGAACAGAACAGGCAGATGGACGAAGAACACTGCTGAGGGGAGCAGTGGGCGGGCCAGAAGAAGTCTGCCACACCATGTGGTCACCTCCGGGGCAGGCGGGAATCGAACTCATGCGGAAGTGGCCCTAGATTCTCAGTGCTGTGCTCCAACACGCTGCACCACCAGGGAGGGTCACATATCTCTTTATGAGAATGCTTATTCTGTTTTTGGATGGCTCTACTCAGTAGAAAGGCTTACTTGTGATGCACACATGGCTTTTACCTATGTGTTGACCCTATAAGTCTATATAACTACTGTAGTTTTCCCAATATTTGAGCAAGGCCACAGGGGTCTCTCCTAAAGTTCTTTCTCCCCTGCTCATGTGATCCTTGTGGCATTTGAAAGGGCATGTCTACATCTGTTCACTCATCACTCACACTGTAATGAACAGCAACCAAATAATGAAAGAAACAAAACCAAAACCAAAGCAACATATATAGTCACATGGGAAGAAAAACAGCAAACTATGTGCACAATAGAGCCCTATTAGTATTCCTTTTTCATCTGTTGATGTCCAACTCCTAATTTCTTTCTACTTTAATTATAAAACATTCTTACCTCAGCCCAGTGTTCCACATTGTCAGGGTCAAAAGCAGGCTGTAGAAAATATATACAGAATATTAATACAAGATTAACACAAGGAACATTTTTATCAACTGTGCCACTCTAATCCACCCTTCTCACTGTAGCATATGGGAAAGTGGCTTTTTTTCTCTCGAAGCATTTCATTAAAAAGTTCAATAATGGGCCCTCCCTGGTGGCACAGCGGGTTAAAGCACAGCACTAAGAAGCTAAAGCCTCTTCTGCATGAGTTCAATTCCTGCCACCCCGAGGTGACCACATGCACAGCAGACCTCTCCTGACCTGCCCACCACTCCCCTCAGCAGTGGACTTCATCCATCTGCCTGTTCTGTTCCCCACTCTGTCTCTGGTGAAGCCTCTCACCGCCCCTGAGCCTCTGGCCTGTACCCCAGTTCTGTATGCACAAATAAATAAATCTTTAAAAAAAAAAAGTTCAATAATGGGCCTTCCCTGGTGCTGCAAAGGGTTAAAGCGCAGCACTGTGAAACTAGCTGAAGCCCCTTCAGCATGAGTTCAATCCCCAGCCAGGGAGGTGACCCACATGGCAAGCAGACCTCTCCTGCCTCTCCACTCTTCCCTCAGCAATGTACTTTGAAGATCTGCCTGTTCTGCTCCCCATTCTGTCTCTGGTGAATCTTCTCACTGCCCCTGTGCCTCTGGCCTCTACCCCAGTTCTGTATACATAAAAACATTTAAAAATCTTTTTTAAAAGTCCAGTAACAATAAAACATGGAATGATGGAAGGAGGAAGAAATATGAAGACTTCTCAGGGATACCTTCTAACTGTTTTTATCACTTGCCTAGGCCAACTAAAGATTTTGATTCAACTGGTCTGGGGTAGGTGCCTGGGTATTTTTTTTAAAGCTCCTCCAGCTTAAGATCAGAGAGAGAGAAATTCTAGATTTAATGTTCCTTGTAAAAAACAAAAAAGAGTTGATTAATTAGCTAAATTACTCAAGTTTCAGGGAAGCAAGTTGCTTTGAGGAGGGTGTGACCCTCTCATTAGCCCTTCTTTTCAGGAGTTGTGTGTAGTAAGCTTTCCTCTCTTACCTAGCATTGGGATATGATTTGGTCCAATGAGAACTAGGGGGTGGGGTAAGAGCTAATCAATATTCCACCATTTTACAAAGGATAAATGAGTTAGAAGTCACATTTCTACCTAGGTCAGTCAGATCTTAACCTGAAATTGGAAATCAGACCAGTAGGACATCTCTTTTCTTCACTTTCTGTAACTCTCAGAAGCTTACAGAATTCCCACTAATAGTCATTTAACAAATGGAAGTATTTGTTTTGCTAATAATTCAGGTGGGCTTTTTTTAAAAGTTAGGGAATATTAAACAGCACACTGCCACATGGCACAGGGAAAGGAATAATAATACACCTTTTCACTTACATAAGACTTCACCTGCAAAGTCCCTTAGAAATAACTAATTAATGCAGCTGTACTGCTGAATAGTCTTGTCACTGTAACAAAGAAAGTGCTGAGCCTATTAAAAACATAACTAAACTTCAAGGAGCTCTTTGTTTTTATCATTTTATCCTCTAGACATTAGCAGCAAAATCCTTCTTTTAGAGTCTTGAGAAATAATCCTAAATTCTTACCTTTCAACATCAAGTCTGTACTTATAACCAAAGGATTCAATCCACTATGGAGCTGGTACAGTGCAAGAGGAATTTTTTGCTTGTTTTTAAAAGCTCCTAAGGGTTAAGAACCGGGATAAATGCTAGGTATAATATTCCTTATAAAAGACAAACTCCTTTCCAAATCTACTGCTCCTGTGTGCACCCTCCAGTAACTGGGACAAGATATTCACCAGGTGCAATATGCCCAGTGCATTATTTAGCAGGTAGTTAGAATAAGCAGTAAGTACAATTGCCTAGGCCCTCGGGAAGGCCAAATGTCTACAGGATATTTTTTTTAAGAAAGTGTAATTTAGGGGTGAAAAGCACCTGTGAAACTGCTCTAGATCTGAAAGCTGAGAAGCTGCACCATTTTAGTACTCATTTACATTGAAAACATTTATTTTTGTGAGTGTTAAAAAGGTAATCTGTGGAAAGCACACACGTATGACTGTGACTCACTCATGTCACTTACATGATGCAAGTTTAAAATGGGGGTATAGCTTTTCCTAGTCTTTGGATGCTACTGTACCAGAAGAGGTAAAGGATACGAAGTACTATTTTTTGAATGTTGGTTGAATTTAGAAATTTTCAGGTGAATCAGTCAGTATAAATAGATTTCAATATCCACTTGCATTCCTGAATTCACTTTATTTTATGCAAAACTAGGGAGGGCTATGAAGCAGAGAATTTAATGTGAAGATCTCCCATCAATTAAGTGCAGAAGATCCTCTATAATTTGCATAACAAAGCGAGAACAAAAAAAAATGTGCGGGTGAGAAGTGGGAAAGAGTTCGCGAATTCTCTCCACCTGGGTGGGCACGACATGACCTCTCCGGTTTTAGAAAAACGTCGGTGAAAACTGTTCTTTATTTTGCTGTCCAGCAAACCCATAATGTACCCAGACCCCAAAGTTCCTAGACCTTCTTCATTTAGGGTAAAACTGGCTGCAAAGGCGTCAAAGCAGAGCATGCTTTGACGCCTTTGCAGCCAGTTAGGTAAGGACGCCCCAGCGGGAAGAGGGAGGAAGGGAAGGCGGGGCTGCGGCTGGCCTCCAGGCAGGTCCCCTTTCCCCAGAGCTCCCGATAAAGATCCATCACCTTGGGACTCGACTTCCTTGTAAGCAGTTTCCAACGACTCAGCCCCGTCCTCTTCCTTGAGGAGGACCTTTCCTGGGGTGCCAGCAGCATTTTCCAGATTCGGGCCCGGACCTCCGCCACAGCTGCAACAGCCGCGCGTTGCCGAGGTTGCTTCCGGGTCTCCCTGGGAGTTGTAGTTCCATTGTCTGCAGGGAAGGCAGGTGTGATGTGCCACAGAACCACTACACCCAGAAGGCTATGCGCAGGCAGAAGGCGTTAGCTCGGTTACCCAGGGCAACGGCAGCAGCCTTGTGGGCACTGGAGCTCACTTTAATATTACTTTTGTCTTTTCTGGCGCCAGATGATGACGCAATGCTCTCTGATTGGCTCCGCACCAAAGGCGGTGGTTTAGGGTACCCGGAATTCTACAAACACGACACGTGGTATCGGACAGTGAGGAGTTTTAAGGGGGTCTCAAGGTCAAAAAAGTTGACGGGTTTGCAGGTAAGTGCCCCCTTCCCTGATTTTGGGAGGGCTTTAAAAGGTTGGGAAGCCGCGTCGCTTCCCAAGAGTCGTCAGACTCTTCCTGATTATGTTGCAGTACTCGCGCCATATCTCCCCTTCCTTTCTCTGCGTCTCCAGGTGGTTCTTGGTTTCTGTAGTATACGGTGTCTCCAAATTTGTGAGCTTCGCTCTGTCTTTCGGAGAAAAGGACCTCATTTCAGTGGGTCTCTGCTTGGGGTCAAGTTCTTTACCGGAAGTTTTTTTTTTTCCCCTGGACTTCCCAGAATGCTAGGGAGGTTTGGGAGGCATTCGAATGAGTGCCTGAGCGCTGGGGTTCCTGGAAATGGCCCATGGAATAAAGATAAATCTATCCTTATTGATTCAGCCTGGGTTTCCCGGGGACAGTTCCTTCTGGGATATATGGATTTGAGAGTTAGAGACTTAAAGTGGAAGCTTTGGACCGAGCTACCTTGTAGCGGTTTGACCTTAGGCAACTAGTTTAGTTAACTCGATTTACTCTTCAAGCAGGGAGGGCTATAGTACTTAAGTCATTGGAATGTTTTACTGGTGAAAAAAAAAATCATTATATATAGATTCTGCCAAGAAACTTAAGCCAAAGTAGACTTGAGATCAATAAAAATTAGGTCGAAAAAGCTAGTGCCTTCACACAGTTACCTCGGTCATAGAATATGCACTTGATTCTTGTCACTTGAGTGCCCCTCAGAAAGGTAACTACAGTATCATAAAGTGGTTATTTTAAAAGGGTAAGATGTCTCTACAACTCTTTTAAAGGAAATATACATATTTTGTATTCCGGGGACAAAAACATCGCAGAAAATTGCATATTTAAATGTATTTTAAATGTTGAGTGTGTATAGGTCGTAGAGGATGAGAGGATGGATAGAGTCAGAGAGGGGAGGTAAGGGAAAACAAGAACAGTACAAACACTACATCAGAATGATAACTGACTATACAATTATATCTTAACATTACAGTTAGTAAGTAAACATTGCATGTGATTATGGACCAGGTGACACTAGTAATAGGCTGCTAGTCTATTAGAGTACAGCTTCAAAAGCCAGAACCCTGGTCTTGCCACTTCCCAACTGTTTACTAGCCTTAGTTTCTTCATCTGTAAAATGTACATAATAATAGCATCTAACTTATGAGGTTGAATTAATAATGCATACTAACAGTTACTATGTGAAGCACTTATACATAAATGCCCAGTAACTTTTTAGCTGTTACTATTGCCTTTTTGATTTAAAATGACTGAAATTAATATATTAACTTTTATTGTGATTACTGACATATTTGAACCTACTTATTTCATATTTCTATTTTTTATATGTTTTTTATTTCTCCCTCTTCTCTTACTGTATTAAGCAATTTTTATTTATTCTCCCCCACTCCTCCATAAACCAGTGGATGGGGAAAAGAAAACTTGTTTTTTCTAGCTTTGGACAAAGTTTTATTTTTTAAAATGCTAATATCCAGTACATTCTCTCTTGATTTCCTCAAATTTCTGAGTGTTTGCATTCATCTTCACAAGACACAAAATCACACAATTTACCTTTCACAATATATCTTCTGAGACACAGTTGTTTACTTTTTCTTGCTTACCATGATTAGAGAGGGATTCAAGAAACTCAAACAGCAGAATATGACTACACAGACTCAGAATCATACACATGGAGAGAACCGAGAGTTATTTTTCTCTCCAGCTGACCTAGTGGACTCAGATACTAATCTGAAGATTGTGAATTTCATCTTAAAAGGCAGGGGGTTTAAATTTTTTACATTACATCGACTAGAGAATCCATCTCTACATCTAAGATTATAGTAGCTACCAAGGATTTAGAATGACTGACCTTGAATTGAGAATGAAGAAAATTCTGTCTTCATTAAGGAAAGAGTGGGAAGAGTAGATAAGAGAAAATGCTTTCAGCATTGAGCGAATGATTAATCACAGTAGAAGCTCTTCTGTTAAAAGATAAAGATTCCGGGCCCTCCCTGGTGGCCCAAAAGTTTAGGATGCAGCACTGCAAGCTAGCTGTAGCTGCCTCAATGAGAGTTTAATCTTCAGACCCAGAGATGATCCACATGGCGCAGCAGACCTCTCCTGACCCGCCTGCTGCTCCCCTCAGCAGTGTACTTCGTCAGTTTGCCTGTTCTGCTCCCCACTCTGTCTCTGGTGAATCCTCTCACCGCCCTTGCACCTCTGGCTTGTACCCCAGTTCTGTATGCAAAAATAAATAAATCTTAAAAAATAAAAGATAAAGACTCCTATAACATGTTCATTCTTTCCTTCCACAAGGATAGAACTGTGAGGTCTCACATGACAACCAAGAGTCTAAGTGAAAGTAAATCAAAAATGCTACAAAACATGTTTTTTTAAAGAATATCCTAGGTCTAGTTGCTTTTCCCTTCTTGGAAAATACTTCTATTCCCTTCCCTTGGCAAATCTGCTTTTTGCTATATTGAGAGAAACAGTGGGCTTCATTTTTGTTGCTTTTATGTATAAAATTATTACATTTCCTATTCTTGGTTCTGTGTGCATACTATATTACATTTGAGTGTCCATATAGCACTCTGTAGGGTAGAATGCACTCACTGGTCCATTTCCCTTTTTCATTTTTCAGAGTAAATATGTGATTTCTGATTTTAGTTGCTCAGGTTGATGTGTTTGGGTCATCCTGAGGATGGATTTGTGCCAGAATGGGATAGGATCAAGCTGCAGGGACAACTAGGGACAAGGCCAGATCCTGACGTGACCAGCCCACCAAGCAGTTCATGCCTGTGAGGCCTTTGAGAAACAGCAAGAAGCCATTCTTGGAGCCCTACTTTGTCTTCCATTCTCTGGAGTAGGTTGAAGGGGTTGAGAAGCAGTTTATATTTCAGAATAAGGACATTGTTCCACAGATTTCATATATAATTTTGAAAACTTACCTCTATCTTTAATTAGTGGTCATGGTATGTTGCAGGATATTCTTTAAAAAAACATGTTTTGTAGCATTTTTGATTTACTTTCACTTAAAAGCTGCAATAAAAAGAGCATAGTAATAAAAAGGGAGGGAGTTTTGGGTTCTGGACTAAATCTGATTAATCTTGCTGAAATTCAAATGTTATTGTAACTGGCAGAGGGCATGATGATGGTGATGTGTTCTCAGGCTGGCATATGTGTAATAATGGTGGGACTCTAAACTCTTTTCAGCTTTGCTGAAGTCTAATGACAATTACACATTACAAAATACTGTGCTTATTTTACTTTGAATTGTGTTAACTCGGTATAGAAAAGCAGACTATCTCATGCTCTTCACAGTCTTTGTTTGTCAATATGTTATATTACTAAACTGGAGAATTGAAAGTATAGGTTTGAAGGAGAGAGATAAATATAAAAATTGGTAGCATGCAGAAACCTAAACTTTACATTTCAAGTATATTATTTAGTTTTATCCTTGAAGGTTCATCCTACTGTTTTATGAACATAATTTCAAAATACATCTTCAGTGTAAATTTAAGTGCTTTGCCAACTTCAAACAACTCAGATTAGATAGAATTTATGGAGAAATGGGAGGAACCAGCAAATTCTTATCTCTAAGCTTTGTGAAATAGCTCCAGACAGTACTGTTTCTTCTATTCATGGGTGTGTGCAAGGATAGGTGATGCTTCAGTGATTCAGTATTTGATACTTCTGGTCCATTAAATTTTCATTACTTTGTACTTACATTTTAAGAAATTAAAATGCCCATACTTGGTTTCTTCCAGAACAGTCATGGTCAGTCAGGATAACAGGTGTTGATTCATTAACTTTAAAGTTTATTTCTCATCTCTGTATTCCCCCTTCTCCCTGCTTCAATTCCCAGAACTTAATTAGATTGCAAAGTGTGGCCTTTAATTTTGCTAAAAATTGTTTTATAACTCATTAGTTTAAAAAATACTTTTATCACTGAAATCAGTACTATATAATATGTGATAAAACAACATGGAATATCCTTGTGTAAGTAATGACTCTTGTATTATATTTCTAAAGTATATTCTTATTAGCTTATAATTGTATTTGTAATTTTTTTGGTATAAGCGTTTTTCTTTCAGTGTATAATATCATTTTAAAAATAGTTTAAACTTTTTTGAAAGACTTATTTATGCATATAAGAACTAGGGGTACAGGCCACAGATGCTGGGTGGGGTGACCGAGTACACCAGAGACAGAGTGGGGAGCAGAACAGGCAGATGTACTGAAATACACTACTGAGGGGAGCGGTGGGCTGGTCAGGAGAAGTCTGCCGCACCATGTGGGTCACCTCCCTGGCTGGGGAAGTCTGTCGCATCATGTGGGTCACCTTCCTGGCTGGGTATCATGCTACAGTGGCTGCAGACAGTTTCATGGTGTTGCACTGTTAACCTGTTGTGCCACCAGAGAGGGCCCAGTTTTTTGATTTTTTTAAAAACATAACTTTGTTACCTTAATAGTCTCCATTTCTGTGATTTTCAATGACTTACTTTTATGTCTCTGTCTTTACTAACTTGAAATAGTAAATAAAATTATGGTCATAGAAAAACAATGAGACTTTCTTGAAATAATATTTCATGCTTACCATGAAATATCTTATTTCTAAAATTCCAAAACACAATAGTAACTATTTTATTTCAATATAAGAATATATGACTCTCCCAGATGGTAATATTTTCATTCTAGAATATTTGTCTGTTTGTTTGGTAGCATCTTAAACAATGGTTGACTTTCAGAGTATATAATATAGTATGAAACTTAAGAGGACAAGATTAAAGTTGGGTCGCTCACATAACTTATCTGCTAATAAAAATGGACCAAGCCCAAGTGGCAAAGAGACTGAGCCCAGGGGTGGTTCTAGCTATAGATGTACAATGAGGCACTTGTAAAATGTTGGTGTACACAGTGACATTTGTCAGTATATGCCAAGCATGGTCACAAGGTTTGAGTGCATTTAGATATCAGGAAGAAGATCCAGGATTTGTTTTACTGAGTAATGATTGACAGCGTCCAACAAAGTAATTATATTTCCTGATTTTTTTTGCCCTTCTGTGTATCTTTGTAAGTTAGAAAGTATATCTTTATAGTCTTATTTAAACAAGTATTTTTCCCTCTCAAATATAGAAGTAATACTAATTGTGTATGAATTGAATGTGTACCCTAGGTGGTTTTTCACCAATGTTTGGACACCATACACAAATAACTAAAAAATAATCCCACCCCTTAAGAGGTAATCTGTTTAGTATTTAGTGTATATCTTCCTATATATTTTAATAAACCCAGAATGCTATTTTGGAACTTGTTTTCTTCATTTAATGTAATTCGGAAAAATTGCTGTGTTGCCTGATTTTCTTTGAAAATAAAGAAAGAAGGAAAATAATAATCATTGTAACCTCAGCAGTGTAACTTTCTCCATTCAGGATTGAGAGGGAGCCTTGGCTTTCTGATACTTTTTCCATGATTAGTCTTTACTTTTATCTTCCCATTTGTTTATTTTTCATTAGTTCTGACAATTTCTCTGGCTGAATTTAGATCTGGTTGATGTCATCCTATTGCTTTGGGAGTGTGGGGAAGGCATCTCATTCTCTCTTGTGTCTTTTCCCATTCCCCTATCCTGTTATCTAATAAAACCACAGACAGAAACTAGTAATCAACGTGTGATCACTTTTTAAAATTGTTTGCTTTCTCTGTAAATGCATAGCCCTTAGATGTCATGAAACCCCTTCTGAATTTTATGCTCTTCCTTGTTTTGTTTTGTTTTTAATCAGGATCTAGAGAAATCTCTTAAGATGAAGCTGAGTCTTACCAAGGTAGTTAACGGCTGTCGTCTAGGGAAAATAAAAAACCTGGGCAAAACTGGAGAGGGCACTATGGATATTCCTGGCTGCCTTCTGTACACCAAGACTGGCTCCGCCCCGCACCTCACCCATCACACGCTGCATAAAATCCACAGGGTGCCTGCCATGGCCCAGCTTACACTGTCATCACTGTAAGTCTTCAGTTTGATCATGCAAGTATCAACTCGGGAACCTTAATAAAATACAGTAGAATAAGAGACATTTTGCTTATATGTACAAAATTTGTAGATTTTTTAGAAGGAAATCAGAAGAGAAAAATATTACACACCATCTGGCCCTAATCTGGAAGTCATAGGCTGCCAGAGCTACATGTTGGAACTACCTTTTTTCCCCTCAAATCAGTGATCCCATTCTGCCTTGGTTGCCATGTCCTCAGGGGTGACAGGGCAGAGAATGCTCCAGGACTGCTGAACTTGGCATCTAGGGGGCAGTCTTCATGCATCAATGTCAGAGTTTCTTCTGCCTCTGCACAGGTGTTAGTACTAGTTGTTGCTAGTTCTGGAAACAGAACTAAAGAGTTAAGATTATTTGGTGTAATGTGCATCCTGACTTTATTCTTAATTTAAAAAGCTGCTATATGATCAGATAACTGCAGAATTGTGTTAATAGTGGTTTTAAAAGGATAAGAGGAAGAAGACAGGCCATATATGCTACTAAAGCATTTGATTTTTGTCAGTTTCTTTCTTTACAGAATCATTGTAAAGCAACTGAAAATTGAAGACCTGTGCTCTAGCTAATAAACCCAGTTTAATGAGTGGGGATTTTGTATTATGGTGTGTTTTTGTTGTTCAATTTGTGGTATAGAGTGCTTGTAGAATGACTTGTTATATATTTTCCTGTTTTGCTTAACAGAGCAGAACATCATGAAGTCTTGGCAGAATTTAAGGAAGGAGTTGGAAAGTTTATAGGTAAAAATTAAATAACTTACTTGTTATATGCCTTAAAAGTGTCAGTTTGGAGTTTGGAGGTACTGTTGATTTTGCCTGGGAAATTAGAAATTGAACAGGAAACAGCTGCTGCCCTCCAGAACACAGAGCCTGCCTAGGCCGGAGATAAACAGGGAGTGGTTGTGAAGTGTGGAGACTATGTTTGCAGGATTAGGAGATGTATATGTACCGTGGGAGCCCACATCACCTGCTATGGGGTACCTGTCAGAGGAGGTCAGAATAAAGAAAGGCTTCTTGAAAGAGAAGATGATACCACAATTGAGTCAAGGAGGAGTAGGAGTTAGCGAGGTCAGGAGAGAGGGGCAGTGGTGCTGTTGACAGGCGTGGACAGAGACTCCAAGCACAGAGCAAAGACCCAGAGGTGAGAAACTGCAGGAAACAGGCCTAATATCCAAAGCTTCCCATTGTTTGCATTTAGAGCAAAAGGCAGAAGGTGAAGAAGAGTTCATATATTTGATATGTTAATAGTATCTTTAGTTCTAGAAATAGGATTTTATATGCAGATGTGCGTGTCCACTTATTTATAGGAAAAGCTTAGCAGTGACAGCTAGAGAGCCAATTCTAGACCTCCTTCTGCAGCTTTTCCCCAAATGTAGGACTCACTTAATTGAGTGAAAATCCAATTGGCAAAGTCCTCTGCTTCTGAAGGAAACTGCATGACGACTTGTTGGTTGTTGCAGACCCTATATTTCAGTAGGGGAATTTATGTGATATCGTTTTCCTTTATCTAAGACCAATTTTAATAACCATCTTTAATGCATACAAACATGTAATTAAGTGAAAATAGCTAATATAAAGCTCTCTAGAGTTAATTATAATAATTGAAATTGTACAAAATAAAGTAAAAGCCTGCAGAGGTTTTCTCTTTAACATGCTTTGTTATTTTGGTCTTTTTTCAGTGAAACCCTTTTTTTTTCTTATGATAATACTGGCTAGCATATGGAATTTAAGCACATATGGTTAACTAAGCATCTTTTTGGATTTTAAAAAAATGATTATCTTTTTGATTGAAAAATCCAAAAAATGCCTTCTTAAATCAATGAAACTTACTGAAAGTGAGGTCCATTTGTAGATCATACAGCTTCCTTTGATTCCATGAGAACCCATGCTATGGATGGCTTTATTGTTAGGTCACCTTTCAGCGTTATCACTTCACCTTTCTAGTAGCTCATTCCTTTCCAGTGGTATCTAGAATAAACATAGTTGATACTAAATTCTTCTTTAAAACAAATCAAGTAGACACAGTGTATCATTCACCATTTCATATAGTTTATGATTTAAGATATACTTTTTTTTGCAAACTCATTATCATTAGACATGAACTTTTGCATTTAATTCTTTTAGATTTGTAGGTTTAAAATTTTTCTGTTCATGTTGATAAGCTTCCTTTAATTCTAAGATCAGGTAGGAGAAATTTTCTGAGCTTAGAGTTACTTTGTCCTGTATATACAGTATGCAACTGCTCTCTATTGTAACACAATGTAATTATTAACTTAAGTACTTTCAGTGGTTCTTTTTTTTTTTTTATTTTATACAGGCATGCCAGAGTCACTGTTATACTGCTCACTGCATGATCCAGTTAGCCCTTCTCCATCTGGTTATGTTACAAACAAGGTGTGTTCTTCGAAGGCCTCTAAGTCTACAGCTTTGCACCAGGAAGTCAGCCTTCCCTAGCCCTCAGATGCTGGGGTCTGCTGCTTGGGATGCTGACCCATTCTTGACCCCCGTATGCCTTCTTTATTTTTATGAATATAGTGGACTGGGTGGCTTGTAGGTGTTAGAGTAGTGCTGGCTAAGGATGGGGTTAAAGTAAGGAATGTATCCTCAGCTTTTCAGTTGCTGCAAAAATTTGGGGTGAAGAAGGGTTAAGTACATTCCCAAAAAAGAAATTGCACTGATGGTAGAAAACAAGTCTTTTGATGCCATGCTTTATTTTCAGTTTTAACAACCTCAGGAAGAGTGGAGAAAGTTGCTGATGAGTGTTATCACATGTATAACTATATATAGTAGAACCTCAATGTAATACTGCTTGCTTCTAGAACAGAATTTGAAAAAGCTGGATCCACAGCCAAGAGAGTTTAACTAGTGAAGAATAGTATCAAAAGACCTTCATTAGAAGTTTTCCCTTTTAAATGAAGGGGGGAGACATGGCCTCATTTCATTGTCCCCAGGGACAGCATTCTAACAGAGCTTCAGTATATACTTCTTTTTACAAACGCAGGTACTTTTCTAACACCCACTTTATTGATGTCAACTAAATCTGTTAACTTACCTAAGATAACTTTTATTCTTGTGCTTTACACTCCTTTTTATGTTATAATTTGAATTCAGAAGGAAATATTTCAACCTAATATATCTATCCCACTTTTAGGGACAGAGGACTTATTTGAATTCTTAGGAAAGAATTCAAAAATAAGATGCAACCTCCCCATCTATTTGTATAATAATGCATGAGACCCTATATTCTGCTATGGGGGCACAGATATGAACTGAAACTGGGATATTCTAGTCAGAGAAATATATATTAGTATGATAGACTACCTTTTGTATAAAAGAAATAAGCACACATTTTTCTAAGAGCTTAAAATAGTGAGTGAGTGATTTTTGTCCATGAAGATTTGCAAACTCATTAGATGATATATGAACTCTGTATCTTGACGGATGCACAATATTGTACCAGGCAAAGGAGGGGAGAAGGGTGTTTTATTTGAAAGTTAAAATAATCCAAGTCTGTTGTGTAGTGAGGAACACTAAGTGTGGCAAGGTAAGGGAGAATGGGAGACCGAACTAAAAAAGTAGAACAGAATTCTGAGGTGTCAGTACAGAAGCTGGCCTGTACAGTCATTGAAGGGTCTCTGAGCTGGGAGGATCCTAGAGAATTTAGTACGGTACAAGAATGCTCTTACATGCACCATGTCTAGGATACATGGTAAAGAATTAGTCTCAGTATTTATCATTTTCCTTCTTTTTATTTATGTTTTACTCTTTCTGATTCCTTATCATCTTGCCAGTCTGTGTCAGTTTGGGGTGTTGGAGGACGAGTAGAAATGACTGTTGCCAAATTCATGGCAATTCAGCAAGCGCTACAACCAGACTGGTTCCAGTGCCTGTCAGATGGAGAGGCATCTTGCTCGGAAGCAACTTCCATAAAAAGAGCCAGAAAGTCTGTTGACCGATCACTTCTATTCCTGGATCATTGTCTTCGGCTACAGGAAAAGGCTGAGGTAAGGCAGCACCACTTGTTACTACTCCTGTTATCTTAGAAACTCTCCATAATTGGGCCCTCCCTGGTAGCACAACGGGTTGGGGGTGCAGCACCGTGAAGCTGTTGGCAGCCACTGCCACAGCAGCGTGAGTTTGATTCCCTGCTGGGGAGCTGACCCACATGGCAGGTCTCTCCTGTCTTGCCTGCTGCTCCCCTCGGCAGTGTACTTCAGGCAGTCTGTCTCTTCTGCTTCCCACACTGTCTCTGGTGAATCCTCTCATCCCCTGTACCTCTGGCCTGTACCCCAGTTCTTGTGTGCATAGATAAATAAATCTTTAAAAACGAACCTCTCCATAATTGACATTCCCTGTTAGCACTTTTTCTCTGCACTTCATTTCTTGGTCTCTTTTGCTCTCTTAGTTTTCCTTCCTGAACTGTCAGTATTGTTACTTTCTAGGATTCTGTCTTAGGTTCTCTTTCTAGCCAACTCTTTGTGTTCTTTCTGGAGCCTTCCCTTGTTTTAACTGATGACTAATCCTAAAATTGTATGTTATCAAGTTCACTCTGCTTAACTTCATAATTACATAAGAGGGCGTTAGCATGTTCTGTCACTAGACTATCCCTCCAGGTACCTCAGAGTCAGCGATCACCGAACTCTCTCTTATCTCCTCAAATTCATTCTTCCTTTCACTCTCCATCAATATTCTGTTAGTTCATGGCATCTGCTAAGTTCCTTAACCCAGAAATTTGAGGCTTTCAAGATTGCTTTTACTTTATTTATTAATGTTTATTTTTTTAATATTTATTTTCTTACATTGTTAATTTCTGGAGTATTTGATTTCTCCCCTCAGATATAGTCCTCCACCACAGCACCCATGATCCTTCTACACAGTTCCTTGTGCTCTTTCCTCCTCTGTGTTGACCCCTTCCTCTTGGGTCCCTGCCATGTCTCAGATCTGTGTCAGCTGACTTGTTTTGTCAAGATTATCTTTAATACACCATTTAATATACAATTTATTCATTGCTTTAATATATAATTTATTCACTCCTTTGATTCGATCTAACTAAATATATCTACAGTCTGTCCCCTTCTCCTTCTTACCAGCACTTTAAGATATAATAAAGAACTCATCATCTTTCATATAGAGAGTTACCTTTCTATTGTCTGTACTTTCTCTAGGCTCGATTCTACCTAACCCATCTTTAGTCCTGCTATCAAAGAGATTTTTGCAAGCACAAATATGAACTTTCTGCCTACTGCCCTAAAAGAATTGAATGATTCTGCACTTCACTTTTTCTGCAGCTCGGATGCGTCCTGTGAGCTGGCCTCTGCTCCCTCCTTCAACTCAGTGCTGGCTGCTTTTTCCTGCGGCCCATCCTGTGGCCCTTCTGAGTTGCAGTTACCTGGGGTCTTATCTGGTTTTATTCCGCTGTGCCTGTACACAGACTTCTTTCTAACCGGTTCTCCTTTTTTCATCAGCCATTTTCCTTCTCTTGCTTTCAGATCCAGCTTATTTCATCCCATTTATCATTCTTGGAATCTGTCCTTGACCCTTCCTGGAATTTCTGTTCTCCTGTTGCTATCCCTTGAGTTTGTATGTAGCTGAAGAATAGCCTCACTCATATTGTACTGCTGTGATTTCTTTATGCACTTGTCTTCTTAGAGTGAGCTCTTATGCTCAATTTCTATGTGTCATTTTTCTATCTGTATCACATAGCAGAATGCCTGACACATCCCAACCCCTCAGTAAATTGTTATGGTGGAGTGCAGGTGATGAAGCGGTAGTGGTGAATAAGGGATCCTGATCGCAGAGTTAATTTAGTAGGGAAAGGATATGTTGTTCACTAGGAGACGGCAGAGGTGGGAGAACAGAAGATGGTCATCAGGAGGAAAATTTCGGTGTTTGAGATCATTCATGTGGCATAATCCTGAGCAATGATTAGTTCTTACTGTGGCCATATACCTTGGGTTGAGGAATAATATTTTCTTGAGTTTAATAATAAAAAATTTTAACGTGTCTAGTAAAGCTAATATACATGAAATAATTAAAAGACACATAGTTGTGGCCCTCCCTGGTGGTGCAGCGGGTTAAAGCACAGCACTGAGAAGCTAAAGCCACTTCCACAAGAGTTCGATTCCCGCCTGCCCCGGAGGAGATCCACATGGCGTGGCAGATCTCTCCTGATCCGCCCGCTGCCCCCCTCAGCAGTGTACTTCGTCGATCTGCCTGTTCTGCTCCCCACTCTGTCTCTGGTGAATCCTCTCACCCTCCGCATCTCTGGCCTGTACCCCCGTTCCATATGAATAAATAAATCTTTTTTTTTAAAGATTTATTTATTTGTACATACAGAACGGGGGTACAGGCCAGAGGCTCAGGGGCGGTGAGAGGCTTCACCAGAGACAGAGTGGGGAGCAGAACAGGCAGATCGACGAAGTACACTGCTGAGGGGAGCAGCGGGCGGGTCAGGAGAGGTCTGCCACGCCATGAGGTCTCCTCCGGGGCAGGCGGGATTCGAACTCATGCGGAAGTGGCTTTAGCTTCTCAGTTCAGTGCTTTAACCCGCTGCGCCACCAGGGAGGGCCTAAATAAATAAATCTTTAAAAAAAAAAAAAAAGACACATAGTTGTTATTCTGAATAGAATGCTCAGTAGCAGCTCAGCTTAGTATGGTGGCATGGCTGTTCATCTGAATTATTAGTGTTGCTTCTGGCAATTGTTTTCAGCCATTGATTCTCCTTGTAGCACGAGTAAGTTTGGATACATAGAAAGGAGGACAGGGAGTGTGACAGAGCATGATTACTAGGAAGGCCAGATGAGTTACTCTTCTATGTTATAATCAGTGTCATCATTTCACACAGTTTCATGTATTAGTTGAAGGTGAGCCTTTCTTGCTGTTCCCTTGCTTATGCTGTTGTCTTGACAGAATGCCTTCCTTCACTCTTATGTGTGTTCCCTTTTAAACAAGCAGTATATGATCATCCTTCTTTCACATGTGAAAAGGAAGTTCCCAGATAGGGCTGTGCTATGTAAAGAGGCATGTCTAACTGTCTGCACACGTCGTCCGTCTTACTCACTGGATCCTCTTGTAGATGCCCTGAAATTTTGAAGTTCCCTAAGGCTCTGTTCTCCTCCATACATTCTCTCGATGGCAACTGAGTGTCTTATCAAGGTGCTGCTGGGAGCCACGTGCCCATGTTCTAGTGCAGCAGGGAGAGCGCAGTCTGTCAGTCTGCTGTGGAAGCAGCAGCTCATTTCAGCCTGGGCATCACATTTTTGTGATACTTGTCTATAACTTGAGGCCTAAACATTCAATAATTAGATTTGTACATCTGTCTGATACCTTAAACTCAATATATAAAACAGGGTAATCATTTCACCTCACTCTCATTTCTTTTTTTCTCTGTTCACCCTCTCCTTCGACTTCCAAAGCAGCAGCCAGGAGTCATCCAAAACCTTGCAGGCCACTGATCATTCAAGTTGTTAATCATAGCTCCTGGATTTCACCCTATTGCCAACCACTGCTTTCATCCTGCTTTTATTCAAATTGTTCCCTACCCCGCCTTTTAACCATACTCACCCATAATTTATTCTCTACACAGCAGCCAAGTGTTTTTTTTTTTTTGGAGAAATAGTCTGTATCCCTCCTGCTTAAACTAAGTAATGAAATTGTCTCTTCACAGCTTGTCAGGCCCCTTCCTCATTCCTGTCTTCTACCAGTGACTCTGCTTTTCTGGGGTTCCCCTTGCAAACTTTATTTTTTATAGTTACATGCATATAGTATTACATATATATGCATACCTTTATGTCGTTTTAATTATACCAATGCAATCATATATTCAAATATGTTCTTGTTTTCTGTTTGACATTATCTTGGAAATTTTATCCCTGCTAATGCATCTATCACTATATTACTATAGCTACTCCATTTGTTTTTAAGCAGCTGCATGGAAAACCATACTATGAAAATACCATGATTTACTTAAGTCTTTACTTTATTGATGGGTGTTTAGATTGTTCCATTGTTTTGTTATTCTAAAAATCTTTGTAAGAATGCCTTGGTGCATATGAATGAATTTATTTGTAGGAGAGATTCTTAGAAATGGAACTTTAGGATATAAAGATAAAAGCATTGACATTTTGATAAGTGTTGTCTACTTGCCCTCCCAAGAGGCTGAACTAATTGTACTTTCAAGTTATCAGAGTGTGTAAGTGCTGTTTCTCTATACTTTCACCTCCACTGTGTTGTTATCTGTCTTTGAACTTGTTTGTCACTGTGATGGGCACAAATGCTATCTAATTGTTTTCAATTTGTGTTTCCTTACTGGTGAGGTTTAGTTAGTTCTCCATGTGAGTACAGGGCAGGCACATTTATTTTTCTGAAGTTCTGCTCACAGCCTTGCCTGGATTTCTACAGGGTTGTCATTTCCTTAGAGGATTTGTTGGAGTTTTTTCTGTGGTGTAGGCCTCTATCTGTTCCTCCAAAAAGTAAATTCTCTTTTGCTTTTGTTTATAGCATATTCTACTAGAGAAGTTTTAATACTTCACAATGTTAGCTTTTTCCTGTAAGCTAGGAAAGCTTTTCTTATCCTAAAATTATATACATATTCAATATATTCTTCTAATATTTGTATAACTATTTATTTTTTATGTGTAGGTCTTAGTCCATCTGAAACTTATTTTTGAGGATGGTAGTTATAAATGGATAGTCAATTATCCTAACCACGCAATTCCCAGGTTCCTAAAGTTATCTTTGAAGAGACTTGAAGGTAGGCTTGGGCAGTTACTTAAACAAGTTTAAACTGTTCCCTTTGTCCCTGCTTAGTGTGCATTTAATTTAAGCTAACCTAAGCTAAAACATGACTACATGTATTGACTGCCTCGGTTTCTTCTTACCTGTTTGAATGGCTTTCAAGCTATTCTTTGGAGCGCTTACTGTTCTTGGGGAGAGGGGATACCATTCCCCTGCACCCTGCCACTGTAGCGGTCCCCAGGGTTCTTCTGTGCACTGGGCATCCGTGTAAGGTTCATTTAAATAGACCTCCGCTACTGGAAATGGTTCAAAACAACCTATTCTTTCTTAGGGCCTACAGAAAAGTACCATCATTGGCGTGATTGAAGGTGGAGACGTGCTGGAGGAGAGGCTGAGGTCAGCACGACAGACAGCTCTGCGGCCTGTGGGTGGCTTCCTCCTAGATGGCTTTCAAGGGGATCCAGCAGCCCTGGAGAGCAGACTGCACTTGCTGTCATCAGTGACTGTGGAGCTGCCAGAGGACAAACCCAGGCTAGTGTTCGGTTAGGATGCGGGCCAGGTCTTGGAGCTTCAGAGCAGGAGTGCAGGGGGTGGTAGTTTGAGTGTGTCCTTTCTAGACTGAGGCCTTTCTGCTGAGAACACTGTAGAGGGAGTTTTCCTCAAGGCCAGCCTGCCCTTGATTTTAGACAATAGACCAGAAGACAGATGCCATGTGTTCCTCATTGTAAGTGAAGACAAGTGTTAGACCGATTCCCCTCAATTTTGTAGTAAACACAGTGCTTGTTCTTTCTTCCTTATGATGTGGTACCAGCCTGGGGACAAATACAAAGTCATGTGGAATTCTGACCTTAATCAGGAAAGGTTGAAGACAAATCTGGGATACCCTAAGGAATGAAGACGGACTCCACTGATAAATGGGGCTTTTAAGGAATTCTTCTATTGGAGACCAGTAGTGAATGGTGTCTTTTTTTTTTTTTTTTTTAAATCGAAGGAACTGGCAGTACTAGTAGAGTTGTTTCTTTCCACAATGTGAGAAGATCTATAAGATGCAAAGCTACAAATTCCAAGTTTCTGAGTGTGTCTGATATCTTATTAGACTACCCAAGGTTTTTCTTCTTTTTAAAAAAGGGCTAGTCTTTTATACCACTTGAGGTGACTATATATACGCTTTTTACTACCTGTATATTAACATGTTTCACTATGGGGTGCTGCTTTATACTTTAGGACTAGTGTGTAGTATTATGCCATTTTATTACTTTTTTAAAAATCCAGGTATAACTTAGAGTATATCAGTCTTATCTATAGATCAGTGAATTTTGACACATGTTTATGTTGTGGGAACATCAGCCACGGTGATCTATTTCTGTCACACAAAGCAGCATCTGCCCCCCAATTTTAACCTCGTTCTCTCTGTTTCTCCCCGTCTTGTTCTTATTTTTTTCTGGTGAAAACAACAATGTAACACTAGTGTTTCTAATCATTTTTTACACTTCTTTTAGGTAAGTGTTCACAGATGTTTGTTACTGGATTTGAAAGCTAGGATTGTTTTTCTTTCTGTAAGTGTGCAGAAAAGCCAGTTTCAGTTGGAATGGAGTCCTAAAACTGAGTCAAAAAAATCAACATAAATTTAAATGTTCTGATTGTTTAATATAACACAAGCCCTTTCTTTGACTTCTTTCAGAAATCAGGAAGCTGATAAGTTTTTCTCTTCCAGTTCATAAAGAGGGATTGTGGGTGGATAGAAAAACAAATATAAAAAAAACAGCACCTGCCAGCCAACCCTGATTTAGTGAATCTCCCCGTCTAGTTTCAGTGGCAAAACCTGGTTGAGTGTTAATAAAACTCTCAGGATGCTTTACCTATTACCTCTGAAAATACCATTTCATTCCACTGTGCAGACTCTTTATTGGTGGAAAAAATAGAACTCCAACTATATTGTTAGGTCCTGTGGCCAGAGTTGAAATTTGGAGAACAAGAGTTGCTTTATAAATAAACCTATGAGGGATGTAGTAGATAAAACTGACTTTCTTGAGCCAGTTATTAAAAAAGAATTATAGCAAGGTACAGCTTAAAACATGTTTAAGAGTGAAAAAAATCCCACTTTTGCACTCTTAAAAAAATCTATTCTTTGCACATATAGGCTGTATGGTTTAACATAAGACTAGGGAGGTTGCACAGAAGGAATGGGATGGAAAAGAAACTAATCTTTTAGGAGTTTCTCTTTGAAGGCAGAAGTTATGCATACTTTTTCATAGATCTCTTTTATCCTTAGAATGACTCTGTTAGGTGTAGATTCCTTTTGTTTTAAAAATAAGCCAACTGAAACTCAGAGAGGTTAAGAAACCTTCCTAAAGTTAACACAGCAAGTAAATAAAGGGCAGAGTTAGGATTCAAATCTAGGTCTTTCTATCACACCTTATGATCTGCTACCTCCCGCACTAACCCAGACTGGAAATTCATTATTATTACTTTTATTACTAATATCCTCTGGGAAGACTGAAGAACAGAAGACAGTGATCAGGAGGAGGATTTCAGTGTCGGAGATCACTCATGAGGCATTGTCTTTGTGTTGCTGTTCTTGTTATTTTCACAGGCTCATCTGTGGAATTAGTCGGCCAGATGAAGTGCTTGAGTGCATTGAAAGAGGGGTGGACTTATTTGAGAGTTTTTTCCCTTATCAAGTGACAGAGCGGGGATGTGCCCTAACTTTCAGCTTTGATTATCAGCCGAATCCTGAAGAGACATGTAGGTCTTTTGAACTTAATCTCTGTGTTATCCTTGAGTTTCCTCTGTTTCCTCTTAATTTTTGGCTTCAGTCACAAGTCAGAAATATGTGCATACTATCAAGCCAACCTTTTATAAAATGACATCTTTGTTTCTTATCTATACGCCCTGGCATGTTGGCACACAAAAGTAGGTACTTAATACTATACATGTAGCTCATCAGTATTAGGAAGTGATTTTGTAGTGAGCAGAACCAAGAAAAACAAAACCTCTTCTATTAACAACCTGAAAAAAAGAACATTCAGAAGTGAATAGTGATGAAAATCTTAGAAAAGAAAACCTTTGAACTGCTTGGTAAAAGTTAATTCGTTTTTCTACAAGAGAGTTCTTGTTTGCTTTTTGCAAATCCCATGCTATTAAAATACAGGGAGTCTCATTCCCTCTGATCCCAGCATTACTTTGGGTTTTTTTTTTACACAATGAGATGTAAAAGCTGTTTTCTTCTATTATTGCTTTGAAGCACTGCCATTTTCTTTTATTGTTTAGTTTTTCTGAAATCAGGAAAATCAGTTGCAGATTCTGACGTTTAAAAGGCAGTAGAAAAGGAACTGGGATACAGACTTTGGACTGAACGCCCTTGAAATTTCTCCCTGGTTTTTCAGGAGGAAGTTGCATGCCTGGTGTTCCTTCAGACAGGGACTTCTTTAACGGTTCATTTCCCACAAGTGATTACAGTTTCATTCAGAAGATGTTACACTTTTATAAAGTAACTTAACCACTAATCTAAATTGAATTACTTCTAGAGTTAAATCAGGTTGGTCAATACATAGGTCAATTTTTCTGTCCTGTAGACAGACCATTACATAATGTGTATGTGTAGGCATACCATAGACACTTTATAAATATTAATGGCTTAATTTACAAACTTAATCATTTCCACCAGGACATAGTAACTAAGTCTTGACTTCTGGAACAGGTTCTTTTTGGTCAGAGAATGCCACTTTTCTTCATGATTACAAAACCTCAAATGGTCTGAACTTTTTTTTTTTGAAGTTCATATTTGTGTGTGTATGTAAATTAAAGACTTTTGCCAGTCATAAAGTAAATCTTTAAAAGCAATAAATAACCTAATATAGGCAGCAATTCCACTTAGCTAGTGATAAGGATTTTCCAAAATGTTTATTATGCTTTCCACATCAACATGCAAATGCATGGTGGCAAAATTTTAACAGCCCTATGCTCAGTGCCCCAAACACTTGTCTTATACTTTTGACCTGGACAAAATTACTTTCCTAGGACTGTCTGTCTATTCTTTGTGTGCCAACCTTGAGATTGTTCTAACTGTTCCCAGAAATAGTTCTTATCTACTTGCTCCTGCTCATAGCTTCTGGCTCTTTGCATAGTGATTGATGTTTTTCTTGCTGCCCCAGGAAAGTTCTTTCTTAAAGGGCAGAGTTCAAGGGAATGACTTGAATCCCTGCTTAAGTCTGTATAATCTGCATTTCCTCAAGGTCCAGAGTTTCCACATGGAAGACATGAATTAAAACCACATTCCACTCTAATCTAATTGGAACATAAGCAGTTCTAAAACACAGTTAATTTGTACATTATGATGAGACATTAACTAACACATGCTCATTTATTCTCTCACATACATATATACACAAAAACATTCACAACGGTTTTTTAAAATTATTTTTTCACAGTAAATGCATGTTACGTATTTTATAACTATTATTTCTTAGGTATTGTCAAATCTCCAAACTTTTATATTATCCACATTAGGGCAGTGATCGTCTTGGTACACATTGCTGTTTTTCTTTTTGTGTGTCATTTTTCTCAAGTTAAATTCTCAAGAGTGAAATTAAAGGGTCAAAGGACATGAAATAAAAAATAACATTTCCCAATGGCCACTCGTTATCTGATCTTCATTCAGTGCTTTTTGTTGGTTTGTCCTTTAGTGCTGCAACAAAATGGAACACAGGAAGAAATACAATATGTGGATCAAACAAAGAAAATTAAAACAACTGATTACAACCAAGAAATGACATCATTTGAAATTAATCTGAAGGAAAAAAAGTAAGGAACTTTTTGAAGTTTAGATTTTAATTCTGACTTCTAAATTGATCTTTTTTTTTTTTTTCAAAGATTTATTTATTTGTAAGAACTGGGGTACAGGCCAGGGGTGTGAGGGGTGAGAGGATGCACCAGAGACAAATTGGGGAGCATAACAGGCAGATGTACTTAAATACACTGCTGAGGGGAGCAGCAGGCAGGTCGGGAGAGGTCTGCCACACCATGTGGCTCAGCTCCCTAGTTGGGGATTGAACTCATGCTGCAGAGGCTGTGGAGAGCTTATAGTGTTGCACTTTAACCTATTGTACCACAAGGGAGGGCCCTAAGAAGATCTTTTTTAAAAAGTTTATATTAACTGTTCTCTTTTCAGTTGGTAATTTCATACAATATTTACAGTGAGATATTATTGGGGCCTTTGTAAATATGGTTCTGGAAAAAAATTTTTTCTGCATATGGATTTGTATACTTTGTTTTGAGAGAAAACTAATAACTATTTTATAGAAACGTCAAGCGTTAAATCCATTGTTTGGTCAAGTCTTTTGCTGTTTCTGGTTATTTTTTCATTTTTTTAAAGATTTATTTATTTGTGCATACAGAACTGGAGTACAGGCCAGAGGGGTAGGAGCTGTGAGAGGCTTCACCAGAGACAGAGTGGGGAGCAGAACAGGCAGATCTATGAAGTACACCGCTGAGGGAAGCAGCGGGCGGGTCAGGAGAATTCTCAGGAGAGGTCTGCGGCGCCATGTGGGTTACCTCCAGGGCAGGCAGGGTTTGAACTCATGTGGAAATGGCTTTAGTTTCTTATAGCTGTGCTTTAACCCGCTGTGCCACTAGGGAGGGCCCTGTTTCTGGTTATTTTAATGACAGCAAAACAAAGATTTTAAGATGAAACATGATAGTTTTTAAAAATTGAAGGAACTAAGTCATCTTGGTGTTTATATATATGTGTGTGTTTATATATACATACACGTATTTAAATAAATCTCAATCAAATATATGCCTTTCTATGAATGAACTGTGGTATTTTATAAATTTGCATTTGGCCAAAAGTGGTAATGATCAGTGAACCAGTGAGTGTTTTTTTGTGCTGGGATATTTTGGTTTTCTATGAATGGACGTTGTAGGGATTCACACTAGCCTGTCTAATAATAGTATGGAGTTGAAAATCTGTCAAAGACTGAAGGTCCTAGTTCTTAGCTCTACAGTTGGAGAGTAGGTGACGCTCTCGGGCCTTCTATGCCCTCCCATGAAGAGCATCTATGACCAGCGCCTGAGGTCTTGCACTTGCATCTGTAATTATTGCCACCTGGGCTCAGAAAGCACAGAGCGTGCGCATACGTACACAGGGGCTATAGAGGGGAGGCGACAGCCAGGGACATGCTGAGAGAGAAAGCTGGTCATTCCCCTGATACAGGAGCAAGAGCTCGTAAAAACCTACCAGTCTCCAAAATTATCTTTTTGTCAGCAAAAACTGACTATGAACCTACCTGGCCTTGGATGGTTGCAAAACAGAAGTTTATAGGGGCTTCTTGATTGTAGATCTGAAATGGTGATTTTGCCATAGTTAAATTCTGGAGAAGTTTCTAACGTGGTTCATTTCTTTTGGAAATGGCAGGTGAATATAAATGGTTACTAATTCCTTTTACATTTTAGACTTAGCTGGAAATTGTATTTTCTTATTATCGACACTTGAAGTTGGAGAGTCTTGGAGTTCAGACCCTAGCATTTTTAATGTCAATGACTTTGGCCAAGTTATTTAATTCCTTCTAATAGCTGATGACAGGCAACACCTATGTAGTGCTTAGTATGTGCCCAGCAGTGTTTGGGCCCTTTATTATGTATTAACTCAATTTTTGCAACAACTCAAAAATAGGCTGTTTTATTACACTCATTTCAGCTGAGAAAATGAAGGCACAGAGGAAGGTGAAGGGACTTGTTCAAGGGATTCTGGGAGCCAGAAGTCAAATCTTGGCCTTGTGGCTTCCTCTTAACCTCCTTAGTAATCTTTATCAGTGAAAAGACAAACGAAATGCCTATCTCCAAGGGTGGTTGCGGAGCTAGAGTGAGACTGTTTGTGAGAGTGCTCTGTGAACTCAGAAAGTCAAGCAAGTAAAGGTTGCATCATGTCTTCTGATACTAGTTTTGGTGGTGAGTCGGAAAGAAATGTCATTCACCAGAACACCATTTTCTAACATTGTGTGTCTTTACAGTGTGACTAACTGAGCTCAACATAAGGGAGTTGAGCTGAGCATGTGACCTCTGTAGCTCTCAGCCCCAGAGACTGTCATCAGAGGAAGTCTCCTGAGTCACTCTGCTCTGTCAACATGTGACCATAGTGCTGTCACATTAGCCTTGATGGTATTGACTATTGGTTACTGCATCAGCAGAACAAATAGCCTAGGATGTGGGTTTCTTGTGTTCTTTACTTTCTGAAATGTTATTGTGACTGCCTTTCTCAGGTACCAGGAAGACTTTGACCCAGTGGTGATAGGGTGCTCCTGTTACTGCTGTAAAAATCATACTCGTGCATACATCCACCATCTGCTAGTGACCAAGGAGCTGTTGGCTGGGGTCCTACTTATGATACACAACTTTGAACACTACTTTGGATTTTTCCACGCCATCCGGGAAGCACTGAAAAGTGACAGCCTGGCAGAACTGAAAGAGCTCATCCGCAGGCAAGCATCTTGAGACCTGGCGACTGCAAGTCTGACGGTTCACAGTGAGCCTGTTGCAGGATGGGAAGAAGAGAAGGCGAAGTGATCTCAGCTTTAACCGTTCATAGTTGAGAGTAAGGTCTGTTCAAATCGCGACTATGTGTACATGTGGCTGAGATTTCTTTTAGGGACTTAAATGACCTGCATTGATCAGAAAGAATAAATTATGATCTTTAATATTTCTGTGCTGCTTTTATAGTCAGTAGAGACTCATTGAGTCAAACACTTTAGATGTGAAGTGACATTCTTGAAGTGAGTGTGATGAAACTGTTAGGGCTCACTGACTTGGATTAGAGCCAAAGGGAGATGACTGTTGATGAGTAGCATGACTTCTCTGGACTTATGCTTGTTGGCTGGGGAAGGAATTGTTTCACAAGTTTATTGTAATCCTTATATCCTCAGGAGCTTCTTTTGGACACTTTTGCCTTTCAAGCTGTCGCAGGAGTGCTGTCAATCAGAAATGACTTGTGGCTTGACCAGGCTTGCATTCGTGGTGGAATTTGAGGCTTACAATTGCCTCTCTGGTCATTTGGTCCACGGCATACTGTTTCACTGGGCCACATGGCCTATTTGTGACTTGTCTCTCTAGAGCTAGTGCAGTTGCCTGTTAGAAGCAGGAAGTTTGCCTAACTGCTTTCCTCTGGTCATAGAGATTCATTATGGTCTACCTTCCAGGCTCACTTATAGTCTAACCGTTTATAGTCTAGCCCCAGCAATTGGGGAGATTCGTTCATCTTGTATTCACTTAGATAGACCCCTGCCCTGGCAATCAGAGGATCAAGTTTCAGTTCTACTCAGCTGTGACACCTGGGCAGATCACTTAACCTCTCCATCCTGTTTCCTCCTGAGTAGGACACTCATGGTGGGTAGGACGAAATGAACTGTGATTCTAGCTATAATATTTGCGGAACAGTTTCAGACCAGGGTCATAGCCCCTATTGTCCTTATTTATTGATCACTGTTTACTTGATGAAAATGAAGTAATGTCAGGTATCAGGCAACCGTAGGGGTGTTTGAAAGCCTGAATAGGTTTGGTTTGTAGATTTTAAAGCAATTGGTAAATTGGCAGCAGCAGATCTTGTGGGCTGGAAGACTTTTCCACATCATCTGATTCTGTAAATTTTTCTGCTCTCACCAAAGGGGCAACATGTTGATGATGTGTGGTAGGTGATTTTCTATATTTGTCAGATTTTGTATATAAAATACAAATATATAGACACATGTACAGTTTTTGTAAAAACAACAAAACCAATAAAATGGCTTCACTTTTGTCTCCCATTTTGCTGTTCGTGCATTTTAATGGGCATCGCTGACCATTGCTTGCAGTTGTTGTTTGGTTACTATGTTTTTATGTGTTGGGTGTCCATTGATGGGTTTGTCTTATTAGTGGCTTAAGAAAGTCCATGAATTTTTGAAACTCTGGACATTCTTATAATCTCTCCATCAATGGAAAGGGTTTCTTATGGAACACTGGTCTATTCTCAAGGATCTTTGAAACATATTGTATTGAGCTTGTTGTGTGTTTATATTACTGTTAATGCCAAACCCACTGTTGAAGGGATAGTAATAAAAATTCCAGAATACATATAAAATTGGTGGCTTTTATGTATGTTCAATACACTGAAAATCCTGCCTAGCATTGTCCTTTTTTTCCAGGTCTTATTAGAACATTTGAAAAATGTTTTTTGCCTTTAATGTAAATATCTAATAAACATTTTTAATTAAAAAAATACTGTTTTGCTTCCTCTAAGTAGTAATGGTCTAGTAAACAAAATATTAAATTTCCATGGTACCAGAAATGTTCTAGAGAGTTTATTGGAAAATTTCTTTTTCTGCATTTACACACCCATCAGTTGTCATTGTTTTAAGAGCACTCACACTAAGAGAAGAATCCAAAAGGGAAATGTTATTCAGTGATGAAGCTTTCTCTTTATATAATTTGGGGCCTTAAGGCTATGGTGAGACATAATAAGAATAGTAGTAACCAGAATTGGGAGAATTTTTAACGTGCTGGGTACCTTCGTAAAAGCTTCCCATTCATCTCACTGACTCTCAGAGCATGACTGAGGTATGATATTCCTATGTTAGGAACTAAGTTTCAAGAATGTTGAGTATCCTGCTTGAGTGCCTACCATGATTTCCAGAAGATTGACTAGTTACTTAAAGATTTACCACAAGTCAAGGCCCTCCCTGTTGGTACAACAGGTAAAAACACAGCACTATGAAGCTATTGGCAGCCACTGCAGCAAGAGTTCAATCCCCAGCCAGGGAGGTGACCCCCATGGCATGGAAGACCTCTCCTGTCTTGGCTACTGCTCCCCACAGCAGTGTATTTCGGCATGTCTGCCTGTTATGCTCCCCACTCTCTTAAAAAAAAAAAAAGTCTGCCACAAGTCAGCTTCCAAGTTAAGACTCCTCTGAAGTTGGGACTAAAATGCAAGTACTCAACAGCTTCTTGTGACTTGCTTCTGGGTTGAAAGGGCTAAGGGTCATTAGAGGGCCTCCTGCCCCTAATGAACACAGGGTGCTTCTGGAGTTTTCCTTCAAGACATCATCAGCTCCCAATCCTCCAGGGGGAGCAGCTAACACTGGCAGGTGTAGCCAGTGGCACGGTAGGGCTGTAGGCGCTCAATCTGAGTTTCCATTCCATGTCCCCAAACTCAGCGTGGGGACAAATCCTACCCTCAGTGGTGCTGAAAGGATTTGGGTCTGTGATAAAGTGGATTCAGGTAATCAATAAAATCTGAGGCTTCTTAACATGCCTTGGGGGAAGGATATTTTATTATTCTCTGGGAATAAAGGGAAAAGATTATTCTAAAACATTTCTTAAACCAAATACTTTGTAATTAAAGCATTTTAATAAAAATTTCAAACAAAGACCATTGAAAGGTCAAGATTAGAGTGTGTAAGCAACTATCTTAGCCAGAATTTTTTTTTTCTTGCAGAGGCAGCTTGGAGCTCACTGAGAATCCACAGAGTTAAATGATTATCCTATGCCTTCCTGATTAAGAACAGGCTGCTCTCTGCAGTTTGATTAGTCTCGCTCATAGCTACGGGATTACAGCTTATTAAAACTGACAGTGCTGTTATAAGGCAGGGAGCCAGGAAGGTCAAACTCACATGCTGAACCAGTCACCAGAAAACCTCTGCCATTACCTAAAGGTTTGGTGTCACTGGCATTCCTTTTAATAATCCCTTTTTTCAAATTTCCCATCTCTTTACCTTTCTCCTCTTACTCCTGAGATTCCTTGTTTTATGATCTCACTGCCCACATGACAGTGGACAAAGAAAAATGAAGCCAGTCCAGTGTAAGCAATGTGAATTAGGGTAACCCTGCATCCTCTTGCTTACAACAACTCTTTTTTATACCCGATGTCCAGGAGTACTTATTAAGAGTATCTCTTTTTACTCTCAGAAGTGCCCTAGTTTGGATAATGAGTTAACGGTCACCTAAGGTGAGGTAGAAGTGTCCAAACTAGAAAGCAAGTGCCCATTTAAATGGGACAGTGGCCACCCACCCATCTCCAGTTAATTGCTGCTGTGGGGCCTGTGCTGTCAGTTCTTCCCATCTGGATTTTCAGGTGAAATGTCGCAATTTAAAAATGCTGGATCATTTTAAAAACAATGTAGGCAAATAAAACCTAGATGTGCCTAGTTTGCAAGCTTTGGCTTAGAATCTGAAGAGGAGGCTTTTGCATCTTTAGCACTTAATTTTTCAAAGACTGCTCAAGATTGATAGGAAAAGCCACTATTGTTGCTGGCTCCCTCCCTTGATTAGATTCCCACATTAAGAGCCTCACATTGTACCAACTCCATGGCATGATCCCTGGAAAAGTCCCAGAAGCGTTGTAAAGCTGCCCAAGAGGGAAGTTGTATGTCATCTTGTTCAACCTTCTGTTTTAATGGGTGAGAACTGTTCAGACTGGAGCAAAGACTAGCAGTGTCTTCCCTCTTAAGGAGTTTCAGTAGCAACCCAAGCAGGTGTCAGTTACTGTTATGACTCTCCCACCTTGATTTCTACTGGCCTGTGCCCTTCCAGGGTCAGTAGCGATTTCCCAGTACTCACCAGCAGTCCTGTGTGACTTCATAAAACCAGTTGGAGATAAGGTTTTGTATGCGCTCCTATTGCACCTTCCCACGTTAATAGCAATAGTCCTGACTGACACAGTGAGAACTCAATTACTGTTTGTCAAATGAAGGAATATTCTCAGAGCAGCTGAGGCATTATCTTCAGATTTTAGCCAGCTGAGCATTGGTTAGAAGTGACTCACACAGCAGTACGTGGTAGGACCCACGCTGAATGCCTTGTTAGTGGTGGTTTTACTTCACTTTATGCCAGGCAAGCTCCAGGTGACCTGACATATATTTTTTCTTCTTTTACTCACATCGGTTTGGCTTTCTACCATTATCATCTTCTATTGTTGGCCTCAAAGCAATTCCCCTGCTCTGACAAGAGAAGAAAAGTGAACTTTTCTTTTGTTCTCATTCCTCACAATCCACTTTGAGACCAGGCCCAAGTTGCCAAGGAGTTCAAACGGCTGCTGCTCAGCCAGTGTGATTCACAGGGATTAGCACGGCCTCTCTGCACACTCTCCCTAATGTTCCTCTCTTTCCCTGAACTAATGTCCCCTGCTGTCTGCTCCTTTGTCTGTGAAACACATTTTCTCTTATTATCACCTTGTTCCCTGCCTGTTGCCGATGGCTTCAGCTTACCTCTTAACAAAATCAAGATGTTGCTATTAATGGTGTTCTTTTCCGTAACTGCTTAAGGTCCTTTCCCCTACTCTCTCACACCATATAATAATCTCTGCTTCAAATAAGCTTCACAACCATTTCATAATCACTGCTTTATAGTTGCTACCAATAAGGCACAAGAGCAAGGAGATAAAAATAAAAGGAGAAAACCCAAAAGGTAAAAGTGAGGAATACTGCAGTTATCGAGGAACAGGGCAGACATCTTCAGGAGCCTTCTTTTATGAAGAAATAGGTAAGCTTTGCCTTCAGTGAAACTGGGTATGACAAGCCCAGTGGTCTGCTGAAGTTTTCCTCTAACTTTTGTGACTGGATGGGAAGATGGTCTCTGCTTTGTGGGTCTGTTCTTCCAGGCAGTTAAATTATTACTTGGAGCCACACCCGTGCCATTTTATGTTGCTCATAAATCCTTCCATAGACTCCAACTAATAGATATGAGTTTTTCAAATCACATTCCCAAAAGCTAAAAGTTTTACCCACGTTTTCTAGCATTTTCCATTTCCTACTCATTTTTATGAGTAGAACATATAATGTTTCCATCACAACTCCATTTATTGTTCCCCATAAAGGCAGCTGAAGAAGATATAAACTATGCAAATATACTCAGTTTCCCACACAGTAATTATGCATCAAAAGAGAAAAAAAGCAAGTGACACAGCATGTCCATTTTTTTCTTTTTTAACCTTGTACCTGATTTTGGTTAGACTTTAATTTCACATTCTTTCAGTAGAAAAGTCATTTCCCATTATGTTCAAAAAGTCAGTTAAACTTTACTTTTCCACTTGAACATTCAGCTATTACTACAAATCCCACATGTCAAAAACCAGATTAATTATCTATCTTCCTTCAATTAAACTAGTTCTCCACTTCAACTTTCTTGCCTCTGATAATGGCACCTGTCTGGCAGTCAATCCAGCTGGATGATTTAATCCTTGAATGAATGATATAATTCACAGAAGACACAGGGAAAAAATATTTCAAGGGAAAGAGCAACAAGACACGATGATTGGCTCAGAGGACGCAGTTAAGTGTTGATCTAAGGCACTGCCCTCTTTTATTCTTGTTCAATCCCAGTGCTCTCTTCCTCCTTTCATTTTACTATTCACTGCTACTAGACTGAGTTGTCATAAACACAGGCTTCTTTGGGATTCTCCCTGACTGAAAACTTGATGGCTCCCAAATCCCACTAAGAGTAAAACTAGGGCCTCCCTAGTGGCGCAAGGGGTTAAAGCGCAGCACTGTGAAGCTATCTGCAACCACTGCAGCACATCCAGGCCAGGGAGCTGACTCACATGGCACGGCAGACCTCTCCTATCTCACCTGCTGCTCCCCTCAGCAGTATATTTCTATCAATCTACCTGTTCTGCTCCCCACTCAGTCTCTGGTGAATTCTCTCACTCCCCGGAACACCCCTGGCCTCTACCCCATTTTTTGTATACATAAATAAATAAATCTTAAAAGGAAAGAAAAAGAACAAGACTGAATCAGCTGTGGGAATTTCTAGTCCTGTTTTCTCTTACCCAGTCACCAGGACTTTCCTGCCGGTTTCCATCCCTTCTTCAAGTCCAGCCCAAGAACAAAATTTTCTATTAAAAACTTGTTTTTCTCAAATTAGAAGAAGAGAAGCTTCTATTCCTGGCTTCCTGTGTTCATAAAGGCACCAAAAGCCCATGTGGTAGGCATTTGGTTTGCTCTGTCCTTGAGTTCTGTAATACTTATCTCCCAACCAGACCATCAGCTCTGTGAGGGAAGGATAGTTCCTCAGTATTCTCCCTTGTATTCCCTTCTCCTGACCCAGCTCACAAAAGTGTCTTCACTGATGTTTCTAAAGGGGGACTGTGAGACTGGTTTTCTTCTACTATCTGCCCAGAGTGCTCCTGCTCCTCTGTCTTGGACATATCGTTTGTTCCATTCTCTTTTCGGTATAATTTGTTAACATTTCCT